CTTGGGGGGAGCAGCAGGACACAATAGGGGGATTTAGGGGACTCGGAGATTAAGGCTGGCGTGCCTGGCCGGGGGGTTGGTGTTGGGGTTGGTACTGGTAGAAATTATTTGGGCGGGGTGTATTGCACAATTGGTCGCTGGGGAGGAGCATATTGGATTGGTTGTTGGGCTTGCGGGTTTCGGACGGTAAATAACATGGCTTCAAAGTGATGAGGCTCGATAAGGATATTGCAGGGTCCCAGTTTACTCATGGATTCTCGTGGGGGGTTCTGCCGTGGTTGGGGCTGTGATTTCTTCTTGGATGGTTTGGTCCAGTATTTCTCAAATATGCAGTCATTAAGCCATCTTATCCTTGACCTTTGCAGAGCAGCAGACAATACAGCGCTAAATGAGAGCCAGCAATCAGTAAACGAATATTCCGCCTGAACTCCAGCAACGTTCAACAGGAAGCTTGAGTCATTGGGCGCGTACCTCTCAGCGTAGGACTGATACTCCTCCGGTGACAGAGTGCTTGGTTGTGGGTTGGTAAGAGTAGGCAACGGGCTTCCATCTTCAATCTTTGTGGGGAGGACCCTCCTCTCAGGTTCCGGCAGCGAGGGGATAGTGGGCGTAGCAGATGCTTTTCTCTTCGCCGGTGTGGTGTCCCTTTTGAGAGCTGCCTCTGAAAGCTTTCTCTTTGCGGTGGATTCTCCACCACGGGGAGGAATTTTTCGCTTCTCGCGCATTGTGATTCCGGGGTAATGTCGAAGTCGACGGCTGGGATGTGCATGCCGTCATCTCCAACCAACAGGCGTGCTAGGTGCAAATTGACAGGTGGATCCAAGTGATATTGCGGAAGTTCCAGAGGTTTACTGGCCTCACATTGCGGAGGTCAGGATTCACGTGAATCAACGATTTTCTCACGTGGAAGCTTTTTGCCAAGAAAGTATGATTATTCTTCCCCAATCTAAACACCCAAGCAAAAGACCACCAGCGCCATGGTGATATAGAGGGGACGAATCACCCAATCCAATCCCTCCAACAGTTATAGGAAAAGGTGTGTGTGTGTGTGTGTGTGAATTCCGATTTTTCATAGGCTATATGAAAGCGGAGCTTATGATAGCCAACCTGCAGTACTAACACTTGGATACATAATATAGGAAAAGGTTGAGATAGGGACATATTGATATCAGGTATGTGGCATAGCTAATTTAATCACAAACTTCAAACCATGTACGGAGTATATCTCGAGCAACTGGGGATTTGCAAAGGAGGTACATCAAGTTCTCCAATGGTCTCATCCAATGGTCTCGAATAATCTCTAGGTTTCTTCTGTATTTATTCAAACTTATGTCCTATGTCCTATGCCTATATAATTCGTCGCTACCAGTATGCTAACCCTTGATACAGCATATCTAAATATGGAACTGGCGCCAATATTCAAGAAGGCTTACGGGCTGTTAGCTTTCGTGGGCTTTTTATACATCCTCGGTGTCTTCTCCCTGACATACCCTTCCGTCCAACGAGTGTATGTCGTCACTGATAGATAAGCTATCGCGGAAGCCATTTTATTTTTTAACAGCTTTCCTACATCTATCTTCTAATGCGGCAATTTTCGCGGTTAGGGTGCTCTATGTGAACCAATTCAACCCTACCTACTTCCAGGATGTCAATGATGCCGAATATTTTGGATTCCTAAGTACTGAAATGCTTTGACTTACTCCATCATCAATTCTTACGTATCCATTTTACATTTTTTTCTAACAATCACAGAATCTCAAATTCAGCCGTTTAATATTCGAACCCCGGATAACGAAACCCTCTATGCATGGCACATCGTCCCACCCCGTCTGTTCAAAGATAACGAAGCAGCTTTCCTTGCCAATGCCTCATCAGGTCCTGCTGAGGATGTCACCAAGACTATTGCTTTCAACCTTCTCGCACAAGACCCCAATGCGAGGGTCGTTTTAAACCGTACGCTTGATTTCCCACCTAGAATCAAAACAACATCTTGTATTATTGTTAACCCCCGCATCTTGACCGTAGTTCACGGAAATGCAGCTCATCTGGGGTCCGGATATCGCCCTCAAATGTACCGCAGCTTCCTTGCAGCATCTACCCCAAAACACCCTGTGCACGTTATAGCATTTGACTATCGAGGCTTCGGAAAATCCACAGGCTCGCCAACCGAGGAAGGTTTAATCACCGATGCGCTGTCACTAATCAATTATCTTACCTCTCCCCCACTCTCAATCCATCCATCCCGTATCGTCGTCGCTGGCCAAAGTCTTGGGACCGCAGTCGCAGCCGGCGTCGTAGAGCGATACACGTTCGGTGACCCCTCATCCGTCCCGGAACCGCTGGCAGGCGTCATTGTATTCGCCCCATTCTCGAACATCCACACTGTCGTAAGCACATACCGTCTCTTCGGATTCTTCCCTCCGATACTCTCGGCTTTATCACCCTATCCCCGGCTCCTGAACTATATCCTTGGCCACATCGTAGATACATGGGATTCAGCCTCCCGCTTCGCCCGACTCACTGGCGCTTTTCCTCAGCCTGGCGATGTAGATTCTTCACATGCAAGCCAAGGGTTCGATCTTGCCCTTGTCCATGCCGTGAATGACGCCGAGATCCCGTGGCTAAATGGACACGGAGTCTATGAGGCTGCAATAGGAGGTCCAAATGCCCGTGTCCTAGGCAGTTACGTGCATGAGTACGCATCTGACGATGAGGTCGTGCAGGTGAAAGTATGGGAAAAGAATTTGAGCACAAATTCTGGTGAGAAAAGGGTGAAAAGAGTGCGGTGGGAGCGGGTCCGATATGGAGGTAAGAAACCCTGAAATTTTCCCGTTTATGTGCTCTGTTTTTCTTTCCTTCTTTCGTTTCTTTTTTCTTTTTTCTTTTCTTTTTTTTTTTTTCATTCCTTTCCCCTAGAAATTAGCTTACCAGAGTCATTACTTTTAGGACACAACGCAGTTGCGGCTACCACTACAGCTACCCTCTCAATTATACGGATGTTTGAGAAATAGACGGGGCCTAGAAGAAGACGCAAGCTAAGCGCTAGACATCGTTCCCTCATTAACTAGATAATGTGACGGACACAGGTTGCCAAATTAATACATCCGTGTGCGCATAATTGTTTCTGATACTACGACTCTATAAAGGACCATAGACATGATCAGATGTTGCTTGTTTGCGCATCCATGGTTTTATAACCGTCCAATGTTCCACCATTCGTTCTGCGATCTGTGCGACTGATTCTCCCAACAAAAGTTAAAGCATTCCATCCCCTAAACAATTGACGGAGGAAATAATAATAATAAAAAGGAGAAGAAAAAAAACCCAAATCTATATTCCTGCTTCGAACATGTCACCAACTATCTATAATCAAACAAACCGATGATCGTAAAGCAAAGGACAAAGAAAATATGAAACAAAATGCCTATAATACATGGTGAGTTTAATGTTATTTGGACATGTATAAACCAAAACTCCAAAAGGTACCTGAAGGAGAGTAGCGAGAAAGCCACGCTCCTGCGCGCAATTAAATATTTTTATCCATGACTGTTGCTTTCCTCGCATTTCACTAGGAATACAGGAGATGAGAAAAGAAGTTTTATATTAGTAATTGAGTTGCTATAGTGCAGGTCTCATGCAGGGTTTCCATGAGGGAAGAGCGGGTTTAGACGGATCCATTTGAGGCATAAAAGTCGTTTCTTGTAATGGCGAATGTATGCTAGCGAGGTGCGTGAAATCTGGATGGTTTTTGATTGTAAAGAGAGGGTAGGGGGGAGGGAATGGGGGAGAGGGAGGAACGTGGATTGCCATGCTGGCGGAGGATTCGTCGATGGCAGGGTTGAGTGAATGAGTGACAGACTTTGTTTTCTATTTCTTGTGTCTTGCAGCCTGGGCGGCTTCGTATTCGGCAATGAGTTGTTTTCTAGAGAACGCGAAATGGGTGTGATTAGTTCCAGAAGGTATTTTCTGCCTCATATATGTTGTGTGGATGGTACCAAGGGAGGTAATGAAAGGGAAAAACCAAAAAATATTATGAAAACTTACTGTAGTTGACCTGGAGCTCGTTCATAGTGGCTGAATTCCATGGTGTATTCCCCCTTTCCTTGAGTGGCAGCTCTAAGATGGGTGCTGAAGCCGAACATACCGTTCAAGCTGCAGTCCGCGTATACCGTAAATTCATCAACGCCGGTGTCAGTATCATTGATAACGGCATTGCGCTTATTTAGAAGCGCAATAATATCACCCTGGAATTCAACTGGAGCAGTGATGACAGTCTTCATCATCGGCTCAAGAACCTGAGGCTTGCTATTCTTGAAAGCTTTCCGGAAAGCTTGCTGGGTGGCGATCTTGAAGGCCATTTCGGATGAATCAGTTACGTGGGTGGAACCGTCGACAATGATCATTTGAGTTCCAAGGACTTTATGTCCAGTCAACGGGCCCTTTTCACAAGCCAGATTGAAGCCCTTTTCGCAAGCGTAGATGTACTTCTCGGAAATGGCACCACCAACAATTCGCTGCTCGAATCTGTTTTGCTCCAAGCTTCCTGTCGGCTCCAGCCAACCCACAACTCCGGCAAAGTCTCCAGGACCGCCAGTTTGTTTTTTAAGCAAGTGATCGAACTCAGTCTTCTCACCAATTGTCTCCCGATATGCAACTTGTGGTTTGCCGGTCACACAGTCGACGCGGTACTCGCGGCGCAAGCGCTCAACATAAACTTCGAGATGCAACTCACCCATACCGGAGATAATGGTCTCTTCACTCTCTTCGTCAAAATGAACACGGAAGGTAGGGTCCTCGCGCTGAAAGCGATTGATACCTTTGGAGAAATTCGACGAATCTTTTGAGTTTTTCGGCCGGATCGATAACGAAATGACGGGTTCGGGAACGAACATCGAACTCATGCTGTAGGCGAGTTGACCATCGGTAAAGGTATCTCCGGACGCGCAGTCAACGCCAAACACAGCACAGATCTCGCCAGCAGGGATCTCATCCACATCTTCCATCTCATTTGAATGCATTCGCACAATTCGCGGAACCTTGATTTTCTTGCCGCTTCTAGCATTAAAGACATTGGAGCTCTTCCGAAGTGTACCTTGGTACACACGAATATATGTAAGTTGTCCATAGTTGCTCTCCTCGAGCTTGAAAGCAAGACCAACGAACGGAAGAGAGTTATAAGACACGAGTTTGACAGGGGCTTCGTCTCTCTTTTGGTCGAGTGCGAGATTCTCAATTTCAGAAGGATTCGGGAGGTAATCACAAACGCCATCCAGCATGGGCTGTATTGACTTATCCGCGAGAGCGGATCCCATAAAGACAGGTGTAAATTTCAGAGCGATTGTGGAACGTCGAATCGCAGCCTTGATCTGCTCTTGGGTGGGTTCTTTCTCCTCGAGGAAAAGCTCAGCAATTTCATCATCCACATCGGCGAGCGTTTCGATAAGCATTCTCCTCCGTTCTTCTGCGATGGCCTTGACTTTCTCTGGAATTTCATCCTTTTCCACTACAATTTCACCTTTGGAACCCTCATTGTAGATAGCCTTCATCCGAATCAAATCCACAACACCCTCAAATTCATCCTCAGCGCCAATTGGTACTTGAACAGCGGCAGCCGCAATCTTCAGCTTCTGGTTAATTTGCTCAATGGCCTTGAAAGGATTTGCACCCATTCTGTCCATCTTATTGATGAAAGAAATTCGCGGAACATTGTAGCGTCTCATCTGTCGGTCGACGGTCATAGTCTGCGACTGAACACCGGACACGGCACAGGCAATCAAGACTGCGCCATCCAGAACACGCAGGGCTCTCTCAACTTCGATTGTGAAATCGATGTGTCCAGGCGTATCAATTAAATTGATGTGGTATTTTTCTTCTTTTCCATTTTCTCGCTTGACCCAGTCGCAAAAGGTGGCCGCTGATTGAATCGTGATACCTTTCTCACGCTCCAGGTCCATGGAGTCCATCTTAGCACCAACGGAATCCCGTCCGCGAACTTCGTGGATAGCTGCGATACGGCCGGTATAGTAGAGGATTCGCTCTGTCGAAGTGGTTTTACCGCTGTCGATATGTGCCTAGATGGACATAAAAATCAGAACCTCACTCGTAAGGTGGAAGGCGTACAACAAAATGGTTCGTGGAAAGTCCCATACCGCAATTCCAATGTTTCTGACTTTAGATAACCGATTCATTTCTGCTTCATCCATATTTTCAATGATCGCAGATTGAGTGAGTGTAGTTGGGTCCGCCGCAGCTTGTTCCAACCTAGAGTGACCCCAAAGCGTTAAATTTTCAAACTGATGCACATTTCTCTTTTGCTTTCCGGATAAGCTGCTAGAATGAGAATTATCTTACACAGAAGCTGCGGCAGAGGAATATCGGACCTGCTGCCATCGTCCTATCACTGGGGCGCTACGGGGAATAGTAGCGAAGCTTCGGAGAGGAGCAGTGGTAATGCATCGTCGATAGACGCCGCATTGGAGTTTAGTTGAAACTCCAGAGGGCCTGGTAAGAGAGCGGACTTGAGTCCTAAAAACAGAATGAGCCCTCATTTTGACAATGGCCTTGACAGTCGGGTTGGGAGACGCCAGCAAGCGTCCAGAAACTTTTTTTGGCCGGAGTTTTAAAATTGTGCTGACTAAGTATTTAGTTTGACTAACTACCTGGGGAGCTCCTTTGCGACATTAGCCAACTAGTTTTACCTCTCCCGACAATCCAATCCACGTGTAATGATATCTGATTACCATAAATAAAATAAAAAGGATCTTAAAATTGATGTATCATACAATCTTTGGAAGATATGAGAAGAAGATTTAGTATAAAAGAGGAGATATGCAGGAGGAATGTCATTCATTGTCCAAGCCATCAGGATAAAGTATCCGTATTCAAGTTCACATGAAACTCGAGAAGCTTAGAAAAAGCTTGATTCCCACAGCCTGTGGACGGATGCTGGCTGAGGCTCTTAAAAGCGCGAAAATGGTGAAAAGGCACCTGTTCTCAAGACAACAGATATGATAGGGAGGCAAATGGAGTAAGAGCATGTCTGGCAAGGGGTGTTTGGGGAGGTATATTTAAATACATATATTTCGAAGAAACTTTGATATAATACATGAAAAAAAAAAAAAAAAAAAAAAAAAAAAATCAATAAAAAACTCCACGGGGCAGCCAGCTCTAATATAATTTTCAGGTCCCAAACAGCTAAATGAAAAGCCAATGAGAAAAACAGGGGGTGAAATCTCGTAGCCAGCGGGTTAATGGAAAAGAGCCTCCCTCCCACAACCAAGAGACCCGTAATCGACTCGAATACTCGGCATCAGCAAGCCATTGAATCTTCGCGGCCATGCTATACCTCACATAGACGATTATTTCCCCTGCCGTTGTTTATGCTTAGGATTCTTAGAACTGCGGTGCAAGAATTAGTCTCTAGATATGCTTCACCAAAACGAAGCCGTATCAACATCAAAGAAAGAAAGAAAAATTAAACCTACCAAATGATATAAACCCGATTCTTTCTCCTCACCGGCTTACACCCATCACACAACCGTTTCACGGACGATCTCGTCTTCATGCCCCGAAACTGCCCTCCAAAAAGCGCCCCTACGCCATTCGCAATGCCACCGACCTGGCCAACACCCTTTACCGCGTTCCTCGACACAGCGCTGGTGGGTTTGGCAAGAAGGCCAGCACGGCTCCATGGCATCTGGTCAAATGTTGGCGAGAGTCGACTACCACCAGATATGGACCAGAGGGAGCGGTAAAATAGAGCGCGGCATATTTGGCGGGGAAATGTGGATGGGGCCTTTCGGAAGGAGGAAAGATGGGAAAATGAGGAATAGGTTAAGGAGAGGAGGGAGCGGAATCGGGTCATTATTTTATAGATTTGTATACATGTACTAGTATGTGTTGAACTATTCCCGTCCGACAATTTCCGGCTGGTCCTCTTGGGTTGTTTGTGCTCGCGAAATTGGGTCGAGTCGAGGGCGGCTTCTGGCTTCGTTCGGGCGAGGTGCGTTTGTTTGGGGATGTGCGAAACGGAGGTTTACTCTGTGTTTCTCGTTGAAGTGCTCAGGCATCAGATTTGGAGCATGGTTTGAGAGACGGGGTTTCATTTTTCCGGAAGATTTTCCACCACCACAAAATCGGAAATTGTCCCCATAATATTAAAGATGGAATCTGGCAGCCCTTTACACTACGTCGCCAGTTTAGAGAGACGTATTTATCGTCCCCCAGCTTCCTACAAGCTTTTTTGTGATTTATATAAAGAATTTACGCGCTCGAGATGTGGGAAATGATGGACAATTCATTGCGAAATTAGCTCTATCAGCAGCAAAACCGAGGATCCAGATAGAGGAGGGTGAGGCTGCCCTGGAGAGTTGGGACACACTAGAGATTCAATATAACTACTGCATATGTATCCTAGAGGTTATCGGCATTTCTATCAGGCGGCGTATGAGGTACTTTCCCTATTCTAGAGAGGATAGTATATCTTGTTGGTTAGATTAGAATATATTAGAGGTAGATTAGAGTGGGCACTTGCGCTTTCGGCCAATTCAAATTCTTCGTATCAAAGAAATAACTTTACTTGTGAACCTGCCAGACAGCGACTGAGTAGATAATCGATCCAAAGTGGAGAATTTCAATCATTGTCGTCAAAGCATTTTTCGCATATGGCGTTCATATCAGCCCGCGATCTGTTTCAAGATAGACTGACTGACTGACCGAAGTCTGCAAGCTTGAGTTGATCTTCGACAACCTGGATATTGCGAAGTGCGATTTCGTCTAGTGAGCACTCTGTGCGAATCCACGTATAATAAAGGCTTTGTAAGAGATAACAATATCCAATCAATGTTGATAACAAACCTTTAGAAACCCCTTGCCCTACCCGAAATTCTTATACCCGAATTTTAGAGAAGAAATAATATACAGCTGATTTAGCCCATGCAACGACTACAGTAACCGTCTTCTTCCAAGACATTGTTGTATGAAATATAAGGAGGCTTTCAGCTAGTTATACGTTCCAAGATGGACTGAAAGATCCTGTTACAACTCAGGTACGAAGAGACAATATCAGTATTCAACGAAGCAACTAAGCATGGAGAAGGAAAGGGAGAGAGATAGTGAGAAAACGAGACACGTTCTAAACACATAATATTTGTCACGGATCCTGCCTGGGCTATTGAGTCACCTGCTACCCACTTTTAATCACAATAAGATGAACACACCCCAGAAGATTAAATCTTGGATAAATTCGGGGGGCCGATAATTATTGAACTTGAACGTGTAAATTTTGAGATGTCATAAGATAGTTGTATGGACCATCACTAGTAGAAAATGAAGCAGAGTTTGTGTACGTCTGGGCCGTTGTCGGCATCAAGGCAGCACCCGGTTTATAAACCTAAGCTATAGGGATCCCAGTCATGATCGAGGCCACACCCTTGGGACCTAGAATATCCTCAAGATTGAGCCAAGAATATACCAGCTCGTCCGATTTGCCCTTATCATAAGCAACATCATCTTGGATTGGCTTTTTGTTCTTGCAGAACACTCTCAGCTCTTTGCATGCCACATCTCCGTTCTTCTTCAAGTATTCCCGCATCACGTCACCAGCGCTCGTGACAATCCGACTCCCTAACCCAACATTGCCAGATGTAAGTCCCATTGCACGTGCACTTTGGGCCGAGCCTTGCGCAACGTGGTGGATGAGAATGACGATGTTTGAGATGAAAGACTCATCAGGCATGTACGCCGACGTGAAGTATTGAACAAATTTGTGGTGCTCCTTGTCTCGTATCAGTCTGAGTAACTCGACGGAGCGTTTGTGCATGCCGAAGTAGTTGTACATCAAGATAGGCTCCTCTTCGAATAGCTTGCTCTTGAGGAAGGCGAGAAGCTGCAGCGTGTCGATGTTGTGGGTATTAGACCACTTTCGGGCAATGATGAGTTCAGGGTTGGCCTTCTGGAGCTCCTTGTTGGATGATTCAAGCTTCGATTTCTGCGAAAGCTCGTCCAAGATCCTGTCAACGTTTAAAATCCCGGAATTTTCATCAGGATCACCAGCGTACTGGGCGAAAAACAAGTTCGCGACGTCAGTGGTGGGCTTGAGCACGCGGGGATTCTTGCCGTTAGGCTTATGGAATCTTTTGTTCCGGGAATGGCGGGCAAAATTGGTAGTAGATGAGATGCCTGTAGCCAACTCTAGCCTGTTCAGCGATTCACTGGCGTTCTTTGGTCGCGAACCAATGAAAATATGAGACTCGCCATGGATCTTGATAAAGGCATCCATGTCAGGCCATTTTAGATCTTTGTGTGTCGGAGAATTTATGACGAGGTTGTGCAAGAAGGCCAGTTGTTGGACGTCGTACCATTGGGTGACGAGCTGCTGGCCAATAACCTGCATTCGACTATTGAGGTTGAACAGGATCAAGCCGCACAGGATAGAGTGCTGCGAGAAGAGTGCATGTTTTTCGGGTGGGGAGCCAACTCTGTCGAATTCAGGCAGAGCTCGAAGATCTTGGAACAGATCTTGTATGATCCATGACTTCACAGCTAACCCTATATTTTCAATCTCTTCATCCCGCACTTTTGGCCAAAATTTGGGCTGAGGATGTGTTTTTGACAATTGCCGGTATTCATCAATAGTCTTCTGGATGCGAAGTCCAGACATTCGGAGGTCTTCGAATGCACCCAAGGTACTGTGTCGCATGATATGATGAACATCGAGGAAGATCTGGGAGGCGAAGCAAAGCCACAGCGTAACCCTTTTGGTCTTAGAGAACTCAGTAAGGCCTCGAGTTATCGCGTCTTCAGTAGGCATCTGAATTTTGAATGTATCGACCAGGCAAAACTCTGGCAGGATCGAAAGAAGGATGATTTTGTCTTCGTTGAATTTCTGACCTAGAGATAGTCGCTCTCTGTCCGCTTTCGGATTGTAGGTGCCGAAGTAGCCTTTTTTGAAGACTGGCAGAGGATTGGACGGGAGAACATCTGCAAACGACTCAAGCAGGACCTTAGTTGGCACATAGCACCAGTCGGCTACATCAGCCATGTTCTTGTTGTATGGCAAGCCAATCTCAGTAGATGGAGTCGAGGGAATTCCGCGGGTCAAAACAGCGAGGTTATAGACAATATTCTGGACATTATCCTTTCTCCCCGTAAGGGGAGTGCGCCAGTCAGCCTCCACCTCTTGCACAAGATCTCGGGCAAGTTGCAAAGCACTGTCAGTAACGACAGCGGCATTCATAAGATCGATTTTCTTATCTCGATACTCCGACCAGGTCATGGAAATGAACGTTCGCATATTGTTCAAGTCCCGAAGTAAGCAGAAGGTCTTGAAGAACAATGGACTTAAATACGAGTTTACTGCCTCATTGTCGTCCTCTTCAACAACCGTCACATTAACGATCTTCTTCGATTCTGCGGGAGTCGATTGAGTTTGCGCAGCAGTATCCTGGGGTTCCTCTACGGTAAGAACAGCAAATTTGTTTAGAAACCTGTCAGCATCGGCGTCGTCACTTTGAGCCTCAGAAGTCGGCGGCGGCTGCTGAGCATCGCGTTTCGACGGCTGGTTGGTCTTCCATTCAAGAGTCTCACAGATTTGCTCCAGCACGGTGATGAAATGAGCATGACGCTTGTTGTCTGCAGAGTCACCCTGGCCCAAGAACCAGGAAGTGACGGATTTTCTCAATTTGATGGCGCGTTTCACGATGGCGAGAACTGACATTGGTACCGCAACAGCAGAACTGGCAACCACCTCGGCGAGCTTTTGCAGATCTTTGGTAGTTGCACTATAGTGGAGTGGACCTGCAGCCAAGTCATCTCTTTTGCCTTTGCCTTTGCCCTTTTCCTCCGTAGAAAGGGTAGCAGAGAGCGCAGGTGGTCGATAACCACATCGGTCGGCTGTCTCGAGTAGCCATGTTGCAAATGAATTGGTATCCGCTTTATAGCGGGTGTAACTACTCTGCAAGAACTCAGGTAGCATATTAGCGAATGAAGGCCAAAAAAATGAAAATAGCCGTACTTATGACAGCCCTGAGATCAAGAACGGACGTCCGAAGAAGGGCCGGTCACATGATTGATAGCTCAGGGTCTATCAAGGCTATCAATTGATCGCTCAGGAAATACAGAATCTATCAGATCTATCAAGCTATAAGAAAATGTATTTAAACACACTTATTACTCTTAGAATCAAGAAACTTGTCTTCCCAATTATGATTACTTTCATCTTCATTTCTCATTCTTTTCATTTATGTAAGAAACCCGCACTAGGGTTGCCAGCAGCGCTTGACTAAATTTTCCTGAAAGCCTTGCATTCGCTTCCGCAGCAGATCACTAGCGCTTCCTCGACCATGGAAAGTGCGTGTGCATTGGAAACAAAAGCCTTGACCTAGTCACGGTCAGCCAGTGAATAATATCTAGTGTCGCTGGAGACTAACACCTCGTCCATTTAGAGAAAACTTGTCCAACTGTTGTAACTCATCTATTCCCACAACTGGAAGGCCATGGGCCGTGTGTGCTCTGGATAGTAAGACCTCCCGGAGAAACTCCGTTGTCAAACCCTCATATTTGATGGTCAAATGGACCCTGCTCAAGATCGCCTAGTCGAAATCTACGCTGCGTATCATCCGATTCGTTGTCAAGAAAGGATACCCCGGTAATATTATACTCGAGTTTTCGGAGAAAAACGGCCGCAAGACGATTACGGGGTATCCTAGTAAGGTTTGCGCTGCTTCATGATCGCATCTGCCTTCATCCAAGAGAAGAACGGCGTCGAAGTGCTTGACAATCTTGAATATGTTTTCGAGCCTTTGCCCAAACGCAGTGGAATCGGCGTAAGCGACAACAACGTCTCCAGCAAATATCTAGGCATGTTAGCAAGCGCATGGTTAAGACGATGGGCAAGGCACACAGAATAGAGAGGAAGGTTGAAATTCTGCGGAGTTGCCTCAACAGTGAAGGCCTTTCCAGCACCCGGCGGACCACTAGAACAAATTCAGATGTCGCATCGGGCGGTTGCCAACATACTTCAGGTGAACGTTGAGCCCACGGCCTTTTCCATCAATGATACATCTGATACCAAACCCAGGCGAGCTTTTGCCAGTGATGAGGGGACAGTCTTTGTCTTGTTACTCATGCTGTAAAGTAGAATGTTCAGTATCTTATCTCACAAATCTATGTGAAGTGGTATCTGAAAGTCTTTTGACACTCTTAAAATCCCAGGAAATACCAAACAAACCCTTCTGTCATTTGCAACAACCCACCTGAGTCTTACTCCAACAGTATCATTTGATCATATCACCAAAGAGAAGAGCTGCAGACTTAATGTACTCTTACATCGGATTACTGTTGATTATCTTCATTCAATTTCTTTAACATGTCTGAATTCAATCAATAGCTCCCCAGAGATTGATAAGACATTCACTGCAGAGACTCTCTCAGGAAAACTTAATCTGTCTCTCTATTACATATGTATCCCTCATCAATTTCAGATGTATTCTACTCTGACAGTTTAGCTCTCAGTGAGAGAGCTTATTATTCATTATAAAGAACCACATCATTTAAATTAGCAAGGTTGCCAAACATTTCAATGTAGTTCTTCTGATGAGATACATGCATAGAGCACTGCACCTATATCACAATAGTCATGATCAACCTTCACAAGCTGGAATACTTTGAAGGCATCCTCTTTCTGACAACGAACCGGGTTCGACGTGGAGACCTGCGCCAAACCGCAACGGACAGAGAGCCGAAAGTCGTACGCGAAATGTGTATTTGCTCTTGAATAACAGGAAGAGAAATCTTTAAAAGGTTTAGTTAATTCCCCGTATGTACATGTACCATTGACTCTATTTATCTACAATGCCTCGGTAAGATGACGCTGAATACGTAAGGCATCGGAATTCCACAAGTCGCAAATCTTCGAACGCCTTTACACCCTTTTGGTATGTAAATAGAGCAAAACGCCAGCATACAGAAAAAAGCGTTGCAAGCAAAGAATAACAAAGAGAAATCCGGGAGCTGCAGGTCAAGAACTAAAACTGCAAAAAGAATTAAGAATGGCTATCAAAGACAGACGAAACACCTACAAATGATCCATCACTCTCGTAGAAACATCTCGTAAACGGGCGAATCTGTGCACTCAGTGACTGGGTATCCTAAATCGTGCAAGAAACCCTCGAGCTCAGCCTTCTCTGTGACTGGGCACTGAATCCCAGCAAGGACCTTGGCCACATCACTTCCATAATTGCGATAGTGGAATAATGAGATATTTTGATGGGGTCTGAGAGTTGTGAGGAATTTCGCCAAGGCCCCGGGGCGTTCGGGGAATTCAAACATGAAGAGTCTTTCATCCTCGACGTTATTCCGTCCACCAGCAAGATACCGGATATGTGTCTTTGCGAGCTCATCGTCACTTAGATCATACGCTCTCATCCCATTCTTTAGTAACTGGTTTACTATAACGCTCAAATCCTCAGTCCCGGTCGAAGTGGCTAATGATATGCCCATGAGCACCACAGCATATTCACTGCCAGAGCAGCGATAGCTGAACTCCGTGACATCATGCGGAGTCACGATCTCGAGCAGCTTCGCGAATGAGCCTGGGCGCTCGGGAATGGCGACACTCAGCAGCGCCTCCTTCCGCTCACCCAACGTAGCACGTTCAGCTACAAACCGTAATCTGTCGAAGTTCATATTCGCTCCAGATGTCACGGCCACAAGCTCTCGGTTCGGATTCGGCGATGGATTCATCGCGACATATTTCTTCAGACCGGCAAGTGAGAGAGCGCCAGCCGGCTCCACCACTGACCTCGTGTCTTCAAAGATGTCCTTGATGGCTGCGCATGCCTCATCGGTCGAAACCTGAATGATATCATCGACCACCTCTCTGCATAACCGAAAGGTTTCTTCGCCAACCGCTCGCACGGCCGCGCCGTCTGCAAATAATCCGACTTCATTCAAAGTAACCCTCTCACCTTTCGCGAGAGACTCTGCCATTGCGTTCGCATCGTGCGTTTCTACCCCAATGAGTTTGACATGTGGTGCAATTCGCTTGATGTAAACTCCGATACCAGCGATTAAGCCCCCTCCACCTACGCAGCAAAACACAGCTTCGAGATTTTGTATATTGGATTGTCGCAGTAGCTCCATGCCGCAGGTGCCTTGCCCAGCAATTACATACGGGTCATCAAAGGGGGGGATGTTCGTAAGATCGTGTAGTTTGGAAAGTCTGGCAGCCTCCTGCTTTGCTGCATCGAAATCACGACCATGCAGTACAACTGTCCCACCTAATCTTGCGACGTTTCGGTGCTTGATGGCAGGGGTACCTGACGGCATCACGATGGTAGCGGGGATTTTCAATGTTCGTGCAGAGTACGCAACACCCTGCGCATGGTTTCCTAGGTCGTCAAAGTGAGTAGGGAAGATATGGTAACAGCACACGAAAACGGGGGCTGTGCGACGCAGACCTACCTGCAGAACATGCGATAACACCCTTCCACATTCTCTCCGGGCTCAAATGGGCCATCTTGTTGTAGGCGCCTCGAAGCTTAAAACTAAAGACGGGAAGTAGATCCTCTCTTTTCAAAAATACTTTGCACTCCAAACGGTTGCTCATGTTTACAGCGTGAGTTAGGGGTGTTTCTTTGACAACATCGTAGACGCGGGAGGTAAGAATCAACCGCAAGTACTAGAGGCAGACAATAAATGTTAAAGAGGGATAGTTCATCCATTCCACTGGGGACGTGGAGCTTACGTCTGGATATCCATTTGGAAGTAGGAAAGCCTCTGGGATTTCCCAGTCCGGAGGCAGGCCTTGCCTCTCATTAGGCGGGGAAGGATATGCGGAGTATTCAGTCATCGCAAGAGAGCTCAGTCTGGGCGTGCGTGGCGAGCCACTGCCATTTGTCAAAGGTGTTTCTGCCATGTTATACAACATGGGAGACACGTCTGTTATCGCTAGTCAGCAATTGAGCAAGTGTGGTCCTTTGAACTTGCGATACGCGACCTTTGACGAGTTGATTGGAACCTTAATTTTTTTTTTTTTTTGGAAACCACCAGAATTAGGGTTGACAGAGCTTACCTAAGTGAAGTGAACGACTCATCATCGAGCCACAAGCAAACAATTGTCTTCCTTTTCCTGATTAACGACCGACAGCCACGTTGGCAGACAACGAGGATAACGGTCTGACACAGTGCGAGCTGACATTGTTGGAATATTCTTCTCAGTCAGGTGGATGGATGATTATGCTTCTGACCTGGATATCATCGGACTGCCCTATTCAGCGACGGGGCTGGATCTTTCCTACGAAGACATGGGAGGAACAACAGTGCTTGGCTATATGGGAAATATGCGGCTAATCCCGGTTGCAGGCTGCAGGCCGCAAGCGATCTATGCAGCGCCATGATATCCCGGCATGTCGCGCGAATCCATGAGACGGATGTTGCAACACCCCGCGCACGAACGAAATGTTTTTTTTGCCTAGTTGTCAAGTACGAATTGGATTTTTCTAACATCTGAAATTGCACTATTCAAATGCCTTGCGAGAATGAGATTTTGATGTATTTAACAAGTCATCAAGATATATATTTATCTGTTTCAAAAGCTTGATTTGAGAGTGTGACAGTTGCAATGTTGTCATCATCTTTGTATATATCTTATTAAACATCAAGATACGATCTTCAATAGCTTCGATAATCAATCTGCTGCTGCTGCTGATAAAACGATAACTCTATTATTTAAATAATAATATCTTGAAAACAAAGTAGAGAAGATACTTTGTGAGTAGTTAGCTTACGCAACCAACCCCTATCGCCTGCTCACATGCTCACGAGCTCCTCCAAAAATCCTCGTTCTCACAATTCCATCCCATAATTATGTAACCTCTAATGTTCTTCCACTCTGTGCTTCATTATAATGCAATCTTCAATATTCTTCTTCTATAAGAATTCTCTTTATATGGTCTTTTCTTCTAATTTCTTTTTCTTCTTCTTTTCTTTCTTAATCAATTTGTAAACTGTATTAGAACTTGACGGAAGCAGAATCGTGCGCGCCCAAGCTTCCCTGTCAGCAACCTTGGTACTGTCCCCATCAGGGTCCGTGAGCGAGCTTGTAGCCAATTTTCTGAAATTGTATTGGGTGACGGGCCGTGGTGCTCCCTGGCCACTCGGCCGCCTCAACCTGTCCGGCCGTTGCTTTGGTCGAGTTTGACATCCTCGGTGGCCACGTCAAATCGAATATCTGCACCCTCCTCCCTTGTTTCTGGCCGTGTCAGCTCCACAAATGAAGCCGCCACTATGGGCTCAATGGGTGGTGACTCTGTGGTTGGTGGATCATCTACAGGCCCGGGCTGCTCAGTGTCTGATCTGCTTTCAAGCTTGTCATTGATTGCATCCACGCAGTAGGTCGCTCGATCCACATCTCGCTGTGTTGGCTTGGCCCTTTGTATCTTGTGGATTCCGCCAGGAGTGGGTTTCCGCTGTTGTTCCTATCCTTCAGACACAATGATGAGGGGGTGATTGGCTGTTTCTGGTTCAATGGCAATGCTGCTGGCCTGCCCCTGATCATCTTGTTCTGAGGTGGATGGAAAGACTTCAGTCATGGCAGCTTCTTCAGAAGGTCCCCGGATTGCTTTCAGCTCCACGTCCCGCAGATGGCTGGATAATTCTGCAATGGGGTTCTCCATATGACATCAACATGCCTGTAGTGATGCGGAAGGCTCCACCACTTGCCTTTTGTTATCCATTTGCTGTGCTGACACTTCGACAACTCGCTCACCAGCATTTCATTTCAGTTGATTTTGCACTGCCACCTGTGTTGCTGGCATATTCATCACCAATGATGGCTCCCTTATTTGTGGCACTGGGTTGAATTTGAGTCCATGGAGTGCCATCTTGGCCAGATATACATCACTGCAATATGGTCACTAACCTGGTTGGCAGCTTGCTTTGCTCTCCGAGATTTTTTTTTAAATCCGACTGAATTCACTTACTGATGTTCAATGAAAGTTTTCTTGTGAGTGTCGCGCGGTGATCATGCTTCATCATTGCTCAGACACTTTTTTACTGATGCCATTCTGTAATCAGCAAAGTGTGTTATTCTCTCTCCCACCAAGTGTTTTTTTGTGTGCCACGCTCACCTGTGGCTCTTTGTTCCGCATCACCCTAGAGAGCTGGAACAAGATACTCATGGGGATATATATGTGGCTTTCTATAGAGACTGCATCTGTTAGGCCACTGGGGCAAAAGAGCTCAATCACCACCAGCACCATGCTGGTAGCAATCCAAACCCCCAACATCATCAGCTGAGAGCTACACTAAATTGACCGTGATGCAAACTAAAAAGTTTGTAAATTACAACGAACTCTGGCAGATTTAGTAAGCCAAGCATTGTCTGTTTTGGAAATCAATACCATCCTGGTTTAGATCCAATTTTCACTGTGCCAAGGTAATTGGTCAAGGGAAAATTATCATTGAAAGTATGCATTACAGCACCAAACTGTGATGTAATAAAAGTTTGCTGAATAGTATTCCCCGGCAGAGCTGGAGTCTCCTTTCACCTCTCAAGCTAATCCATCATCAGTAAATTCCCTCCACGGAAACAACTTTATCCTCGTGCTGGGCATGGAGGAAAATGATGTACAGCCGAGCCACAAGTCATCCACAGGTTTCTTCATATTCTCTGGACGTACAGGATAATAAGACATATCCAACTATACACCGTCGGTACGAACCGCTTATAAACTCTATATCCCGAGAAGGTTTGATCCAAAGCAACCTGGGAAACACAGTACACCAGAGAACATATTCAGGCTAAGGATTCTCCCCATGTTGCCAGACTCTGCGACAGGAACACGGTCAACAGTCTCCTAGTTCTTTGATCAGAAAAATGCTAGAAAGGATCTGGTTGTGAAATACTGACACATTGGACAGTACAGCTGATTCATTACTGAGAGTGCTGAGAGCTCGGAGGAGAAACGCCTGCACAAACAGGGCATAACCCAGGAAGGTCCTGGTCTTGGACATCAAGGACTCTTCGAAGATCTCTAAGATATCCGCTCGGAGGAACACACGGCGTCTAGTTTGGGCGGGCGAATGCTGCGTTGCATCGCTGGTAATCATAGGCATAGAAGTGGTCGCAAGCTTGGTAATGGTGACACAGCTGATCGCACATATTCGATGGAAGAGGCTGGGTAAGGATCACTTTTGACAATGTCTATTGAAACTGATCACTATTGATTTCCAGGTGGGATAAAATCGACTTGGACGAGACTACACGTCGGCTGACCCGTTGGTTACTCCGCTAACTTACGCTAGTGCAGGTCACTAACCTGTGCAGGGTCACCTAATAATAGATTTGTTTTCGGACGCAATATCTAGCATCTCAGTATAGTCAGCTTTCACCGCTGAAATGGCTGAAAAGCCAGATAGATGAATTATCCTTATCTTATACCTTAGCTAAACGAGCAGTTACGATGTCGGAGACATCTAGAGAATCAGCAGTAGATGCCGGGCCAACTTTCGAAGGTTTTCCCAAACATCCCAAGCGCGTCATTTTACGACTTCGTGTGAACGAATTCGATGGTCGTAACCCGACAGAGTTTGACCGTGCTATCATGGCATATCTAGCATCTGCTGGACGCCCTGTCGATGAACTCACGCAAAAAATCCATCACTCGCATATCGAACCTCTCCAACCCCCAGAGATGAAACAGAGGTCATTTCATATAGTTCCGGATATTGAAAAGGATATGCTCAGTGATCCAGACTTTGAGAGAGTAGAGCACGAAGTTCACCGTGTTCACCGAGCTAAGAATGGTACATTGTATGGATATCACGCTCTAATTTGAGAAATTCGACTAAATCTCTGAACAGTAAAGTCAATCGCATCTCAAATCCAGCCGAAGAGCAGAACTTTGTGCGACAGATGCGACTTTTCACGGACACTTTCTATCCGTGGGCAAAATAATGACGCTCATCCCGGACCCATGAGGGCTCCAGGGCTAATTTGTAGCCGTCATGCTTGTTTTTTGTATGGGGGGAGAAGGGGAAGGGGTTGTATTTAGATCTACTGGTACTACAAATGTATTGAAAAGATGCAGAATGGTTTTGTCTCGTGAGGCGATTGGCTTCGTTACTGACATGTTTCTCTGCGTATGTTTTCATCAGGGAGGATATGTAACTGCATTTCATTCAGGAGAACTTTCTTCGATGACGTCGTGGCGCCAGGCAACTTTTGAGCTTATTCCCGATTTTTGTTCTCAATTAGCTTTGTACTGCAGTTTTGACATTCGCCACATGGAGTTGCGAGATTCACATGGTTTGGTAACCCATAACACTGGGACAAAAGAGTGCGATCACCACCAGCGCCATGCTGGTAGTCGAGGCGACCATGAAGGAAAGTTTCAGGAACAGAGTTAATCCGGATTTCCCTATATTTGGTTTAGGGCATCTTGGCAATAGGCTTTGGAAACCAATTTTTCGCTCCATCTAATAATCCGCCCTTCGTTGAAGGCTCAAGCTGATTCTCTGTTCTTGACTCTAGAGTGCTTCCCGGCTTTCTTACTTAACCAACGGATCTCAGAGTTGTGTCGCAGGTTCATAACACTAATGGGCAGAGGACAAACAGCTATCCATGCCTTCATTTTCGCGCCAATGATGTTTGGAGATCAAAAGAGGGTATCATCATCATTCAACCCTCCAATATTGTATTTGATCACTTGATTATAGGCATTCTCTCATTCTTGCAACTAATTTTCCCCACTCCTTTTCTTCACCTCACTGGCCTTTGATGGCTTCAAGAATTGCACAATAATCTCTAACTTCTATTGTCAAGATGTGGGTACTAGATGATTCTTCAGGCAGTTTCCTATTACAAGAATCCATCAATATGAAGTTTATCAGATTCTGCAGCCCTGGATTCAAGCTCTCGATTCTCTCCAAGATGGGTGAAGATAGCATCCTATCATTCAAAAGAATTCATTCAATGGACTCATAACTAGTCAATGTGGGGATATTTAGTGTTCACAATAGAATATGTTAACCAATTCAATTGATCCTAGCTAGAGCTGATCAGAGGGATTTTATGAGCATTTTATACCTTTTATTGTTCATCTAATGCTATCCAATATTAAATCTTGTTCAAGTGGTAGATTTGGCGGAACTTGATATTCAGAATAACGGAATCCAGCTTGAGGAGTATTTAGTGACTGTATACTTTTTATTTAAGAAACAAATAAGTCAGAAGAAATCAAATATAAGATAAATCAAGCTGAAATTATGTATCAACATTTCTTTGACAGTATTCAGTTTCTATCTATTAATGTAATTTCTATAAAGTATGTTCTATAAAGTATGATCCTTTGCAGTGTGATAAAGTCCTCAGTAGTTATAAGAAATTGATAATGTAGAACATGTTGACCCCCTGATGTCCGCTATGGCCATGTGACCCGCACCTATATAAAGAGTACTGCGCCTGCTAGATATCAGTAGTTACAGTTAACCAACCTTCCACTTCTATCAGGTTATGGGCCCTTTGGTGCTCCAGCGCCATCAAATGTTTCAAATTTGTACGTAGTTGCTGGTTCCGTGCTCCGTATGGTAGTGGATAAAAACAAGTTTCGGAGCAGAGTAAACGCCTTGGATAGACTAGCCCTGGGAAGTCAGCAAGCAGTGGACGTCCTGAAAAGGACAGTGGGAAGCCTGGGATTTATACTCCTGGGAAGAAGGGGTCTCGGAGCGTAGCCACAGCCACCAAAAGTTGTGGTCTTTGACTCAAAATCAAGATGTCCGTGGGTGTAGAGTGGGTGCAGTGTGGATGATTGTCATTCTAATTGGGTGCATGTTTGGAACTTATAGTACATTCCACCTTTCTCTCTTTCTTTCTTTCTTTTCGTGTTTCTAGCTTTTGGACTTCGCCCACTTCGGGGCAGCTTGGAAAAATGTAAATTTGCTCCAAAGACTCCTTGCAGCCACACTTTGCAATCGCCTATCTGACGAATCCTCACTGCAGACCCCAACCGGCAGGCACAAGCCATCTTGCACATGTCAGTGGGCTAGCCGTGAAGGGCGTTCTCACTGCTCTCTCAAGACCAATGGAAATTGAAGTTTCACGCCATGGGATTGTTTGACTGCAAGACGAGAACGCTAGGATAAGAATAGTAGGACAAGGATAGTAGAGTGAGAATGGTGGGATGAGAGAGCTCTGGCATGGGCCGATGAATTCGAACGAGACTTTTCCTTGGCCCGGGGTTTTTGCGGTAGTCAGTTAACTATTTCCCCCGAATTGACGCTTCCCAGTCATCCCCTGAGGCGACAGGTTGCCCTGGGAAATAGCAAAATTTATGGCTGTGGGCAAAGCGGCTCTCCCTGGGTGAAAGGACGATTTGAGAAATAAGGATTTCTGTAGGTTACATGAGGCTTGACGCATTCCAGAAAACACCCTGAGTATCTTCATGCCCCAAAAATCAAGAACAACCTGAGGAAGGGCCGTTCTTGGTGCTGAAATTGTGGCCTGCTCCAGGGCATTCGGGATTCTGGGGGGGGGGAAATGTCTTAGGGACCCAAATGCTCTGAGAACGCGCCTGTCATGAGAGAGATGGCTCTAACCTGGAAGAAAGTGGCTTGCTTCAGTAGTATCCTCTGGCCTGCGGAATCGAGAGAGGAAAAGACGTACGGAGTTGGCTTCCCAGGTCTAACCTCTCACATCTCTTGAGGGATGAGAGAAAAAGGGAAGTTGAGCAAGTGGTTTTTAGTAATCCTGCTCTAATTGCTTGAGATATTCAAGTCATCATTCTATGCTAATTTGAAACGTTAGAGTGTGTTCAAGTCTGTCATCCATGCAAGCCGGGATATCAAGTACGAGGAATGATAGCAAAGGAAATCCGTCAAGTGCAATAGAAAATGTATGTTTTGTCGAGTTTCCCCTTTCAAACATCCTCATCGTAGAACGCCAAAGAACGGTAAGAATATGAAGGAATAACAAGAGGGTGATTGATGTGAGACGACATATCAGATAAATCTTGAAGTACTCCATTGATACTCCCACTTCAGCTATAAGGACTTTCTGTTTGTCTGTCATATGGTTCTCATCATAAGTACTCACCCGATTGAATCAAGTCACACAACCCGGTCAGGACTGGGGTCATATTTGACAATGAGCATGTCCCTGGGCTCGATATCACCCAGCTGTTCACCTGCTTTGTGAATCTCACGGATACCCAGAAGATTGTTCATCCATGTTTCTATATAGTTGCCAAGATTGATCATCTCCATGTTTGGAATGTACTCTGGGAATATAATCCTTGGTGGGTTTTCACCCCCAAGAAGCTTTCTCAAGTGAGGCTGACATAGTTTTGGATTGAGTCCCTGGACATCGCGGGATAATCCCTGTGTCACAGATTCCCTGGGCCTCCAAACGTCGATATGCAGTTGATTCAAGAACATGGATGTCAAGCGCACGATCTTCTCGTTCATAGGGGAGTGGTGGACCCCATCCATAGTGTCGCCATTTCAAGATGTTGACTAGGGGTGGTTGATTCAGACTGATGTGATTGCTCACCACTTTCATAACTCGCAGGATAAGAGACAAATGGTTGCTCTTTAAAACCAATCTCGCCTGGACTGACATATTCTAGCTCCATCATTTTCTTCTGTTATGTCTTCCTTTGCCATGTTCCTATCCTGCCTTCAATCGATGGCATAGATCTTGAGCATTCACCGCTTTGATATGATCAAGGGCAGGGTGGTTGCTGAGACCCACACTAGCGCATCCGGCTTCGACGTCATCCGCGGAAGTTTGCATTTCTCCACCGTTTCCACAACCGCTGAGGCTACCTACTCGATATCCAATGCGGATTTTAACAAAGTCACAACCAATCTTCTGAGCCTTTCGTGCTCCTCAGTCCAATATAGACTCCTGGAGTTAGACTCACACAGGACAGTTAAGGGGGCCGTTGAGAGCATCTCCGTCCCCACCGGCCTTGCCGGGGGAAAAAAAGGAACAAAAGAGAGAAATACCCAGTTCCGGCCAACACCCCTCCAGTTTAACACATTCCCCTGTGCCAATTGGCATCGCCGCAACCCCGCAATATGAGCAATACACCCCTCCCATCGTCATTCGACGCACATCCGTATGTAGACCACCCAGAACCCCTTTCCGGCTACGGCGTGCCGGGAAAATCCAGCTCCATTAATTTAACTAACCCGCAATAATTTCGCAGAGAATTCTTTCAGGAAACAAAATGGCAGAAATTCACACGTCGCATCAAAGAAGAACCTCTTATCCCAATAGGTAAAGAGCCGTATATCTACCCCGGCCTTGAACATATTCGGAACGACCCAACCCTTCCTTCACACACACACGCACACACACACACACACATACACACAAAGCAACGTCCTTCTCCTTACCCTTCAACCCCCGCCCCTCCCGTATTAACTATTTTTAATCACAGGCTATGCCGCAACCAGCTATGCCCTCTGGCGCGCCTACAAATCCATGAAAGCTGGCGATTCTATTGAACTGAACCGCATGTTCCGCGCGCGTATATACGGGCATGCATTTACCCTCTTCGCCATTGTTGCGGGCGGCATCTACTACGGGCAGGAACGCAGACAGCGCAAGGAGTTCGAGAAGGCGCTGCAGCAGAAACAAGACCAGGAGAAGCGGGATGCTTGGTTGAAGGAGTTGGAGATACGGGATAAGGAGGATAAGGACTGGAGACAGAGACATGCTGCTATTGAAATGGCGGCGAAGGAGGCGGAGAAGAAGCGGGGTTAGAGGTGTGAAGGGGCTTTGGGGCTTTGGGCTCTAGGTCGGAGAGACGTGCGAGTGTAACAGTTATTTTGCAGGATGGTCGTGGCGGTATGTATATATTACTGGTATGCAGGGGTTGTTGATTACAGCTTAAAATATACTGTGGTGGCTTCGCCTGGGTTGGCTTAATTGCCATTACGGCCATTTATTTAATTGTTTATTCATTCATGTTCCCCTTCTCACCCCCCTCACTCCTATTTTTTTTTTTGTTGCGTTTGCCTTGGGGTGGTCTAGATTTGTACGATTTCATTTTGTATATAGGGTTCACGGGACACGGTGCTTCGAATGGGAATAGCTCTCTGCTTTCTATGATTACTATCACAGTATTCTATTATCAATCGTATTTCCTTCCGTGCATCTTCCTTCTGAGTCCCTAGGCATCTATACTCAGATCAGAGCTATATATTAAATACACATATTGTGTCAAAATAGTTCAGTACACTGGGTGACGCCGCCCTTTTACCCACGAAGATGTTTCGATACTCGCGCGGTTGATTTGGTGTGGATGATGGGATATATTCAAACCCAGCGGTCATGCCGCTAACTCATCGATATATCGTCGCATGGCATCAAACTCCGTTTTCCCCGTCTGGAAAATCAAAAGGAAATGAGCATTTTCATTCAATGTATATGTTGCAGGTGAACGATAATCATGCAGTGCGGGCAATTAATGATGGGCATACCGAGATCAGGTACCTAATATGCGCCTAAAAGGTATATCCAGCGTATATTTTTCATTAGTCTCATTGCAAAAGCTAGTTTAACTGACGGCAACATAAATTCCGCAGATTAATTGTCTATACCAGATCTGTAACTCCCTTATTCCGCTCAAATTCGTGACGGGCAAAAGATCGCATTTCATCCCTTACGCTAGATTGGGGAATCCCTATGTAAACCGTGAGGAAGAGTGAGATGGTTAGGCGGACCTTGGTTGCATTGGAAGGTAAAACGGGAATCGAACAAGGAGTGCAGGGCGTACTATTCGTAGCTCGCACGATCTCACGCCAGAGGCCGAGTGCTCGCTTTTGTTGAACGAACTATGCATGTTTGGAATTGGGCTCTAGTTAGCGGAACCCAGGAGTCTCCGGTTTTCAGTTTGGATATGATATTCAGTGGAGCGTAGCAAATAGATAAATTTACATGTTCAAGGCTGACAGTCTGCCTTCTGAGTCTGCGTGGCGGCTCTCCAGCAGCCGAGAAAAGGCGAGCTGACAAGCGCATGTATGGATATTGGAGTAAATTGCGGATTCTGTTTCTCCGCCATCGATTTGGCCCGTGTATATTGAAGCAGGATCCTTCGTTGGTTGTTGCCAGCTTAAATAAAACAACTGATTGGAAGGGCAGAATTGAAGGCGGTGGCGGAGCGAACGCGGAAGCGAGTTAGAGCAATACGATTACCGCGTCTCCGAGAGCTGAGAATATTATCTTGTTTCAACTTCATCCCTTGAAGGACCGATTGAGTGAAATCCTGTTTTGACGAGGCAGTGCAGTGTTTATGGCATTTGCTAACCTAGATAGATATCTAAAGGTAAGAGCAAGCTCGCCAATGCTTGGTACGATCAAAGAGGAAACTATGTCTGTCCTGCGGAGAGTGCGTGACAGCAGGATCAGAAAAACTACAGCGACTTTTTCAAGGAAGAAAACACGTGCGTTAGCCACAGAAGTTTCGGATATCAATGGCATGGAGAAGACCCATGCTCTCCGAGAGAACGAGAATGGTGTGTCGGATAGGGGTAGTAAAAATGAAGAATCACGGCGGAGGCATCCCGCGTCGCGTAAGTCATGATCAAGCCTTCGGTTTTGTATTAACTGATTACCAAAACTATCTGACACACCGGCCGGCTTTTTCCGATGAGCAAAAACCTCCAGCAAAAATATTGCCGCTGGTCGAATGCGTGAATGCGCTCTCACTTGAAGACTTTATCAATCGCTACATACCCCTTCGAATCCGGGACTTCACTATATCAGTTCCCTGCCGAACACCGGCCGTCAATGGCCAGGAACTATACGAAACCTATTCAATTGAAATACACTCATCGACCTCGATATCAAAGACCGATCTCGAGTCATGCTTTTTGCTGGTGAAGCTTACCAGCTCGGAGATGTACAAACATTCAACCACTGGATGGTCACCTGCGAAAAAGAAAAACGAAATGAAACTTCTGGATATGTGGTATATGCTTCTGGTCCGTAACACCACTCCTACTACTTGTCCTCCTGCTACCGAATCGGTGTCCCTCATACACATGGATGAGAAGTCACAAACTCCTGAAACTGGCAGGCGGGAGCTTGGGGGATTTCTGTCCTTCATGGTTACATACGAAGATGAAATTGAAGTACTATATTGCTACGAAATTCACCTTGCACCGGAGTTACAGCACAGGGGATTGGGGAAGATACTTCTTGGCTATTATGAGGAGATAGGACGGAACATCGGGTTGCAAAAGACCATGTTAACGGTTTTTAAGGCCAATGGGTCCGCTATTCGCTTTTATGAACGGCTGGGATACGCAGAAGATGAGTTTTCTCCCAAACCGATGAAACTCAGGAATGGGCATACCAGGGAATATGATTATATGATATTATCTAAGGACATTGCTAGTACACAGACGACAATGAAGAATGACAAGAATGATATCGGTGTTGTGTGGTGAGGGTAAAACTAGTTGGTTCCTCACCAAGAGTGTTGGACGCTTGCCACAAAGGCTGTTAGATCTGCTTTGCATATTTTCCTTTCATGTCTGGTCTGCTCTTCTCCCACTCGTCACGAAGGACAGCGAATATCGAATCTGCAACGAGAATCGAGAGCCCTAGACTCCAGACTAGGGTTATTGCGTAGAAGAAATTGGCGTTGCCCGAGCCAGCATATATCCATAAATGGTGGAATATTGGGCCGAGAAGTGTAGCATATAGCAAAACCGCAACGGCGAAAAACGTATAACGCATTACTATAATTATGTTAGCAGGTATGTGCAAAAAGAAGAGGGAGAAAGGGAATACGTACATGGGAAGACATGGCGGTAGAGTGGCAGAAGAGCAAAATAGATGGATACGTCAGAAATGCTAGGGTATGGTTTGAAAATCGAACATACCCCAAGGAATGAGGTGATCACAAAGAGAGGCTGCGTCCTCATCCTCACGGTGAAGGCCCCAACATATGATGCCAGATGCAACCAGAAAACTCCCAGGAAAAATTCTCGAAACGGATCGAAAATCTCAATCAAGAAATACCACCAAAGGCCAGCGTTTGGTGTCAAGTCAGGTACCAGCAGCTGAACCCCATAAGTTGCAGATATAAACTCCCATGAATTACCAGTAAGAATGTAAGACATATAGAGGAGTGCCACGACAATCGTGACAAAAAGAAGAAAATATCTTAGCGCGTAGCCGAAAGAACCGCCTGTGGATTTCACACGTGATATGTTTCGATCGTAGCAGAGGAGAATGAGCGGCGGGTATAGGAGAGCAGGATAGAGTGATAGATACGAAGCGAATCCCAGCGCGAGCACGGAGTTGAAGGTATTACCCGTAACCGCATTCGAAATAGCATATAGGATTGCGGAATTGGTGAAACTGTTGGTTGATCGGCCCAGACATGTCGCGATTACAAATGGATTAAATAGGTAACTATAAAGAAATTAGCTTGCGTTTTGAATATTTCTTCCGCCATGAATCTACTATCTCAAACACACCCTGCAGCAATAGAGACTCCATCCCATCGAATATGTTTCCGTGTAGACGTGTAAAGTCTCGACACCACAGATTCACCGGAATCCGATATGGTTATCAAAGCCGCGGCGTTGAGAAGATCGAGAAGGACGTAAACCAAACCGGCAAGAAGAGGATGGCTGGCAGACTGCGGGAGGAGCGAAAATATTGGCAAAAGAATCGGGGCCTTGTGCAAGAGCGCATTAGATTGTCGCTCGTTGTATTGGCTGTTATATTTTTGAAAGTACGCACCTGGTGATAAACTCCACCGTCATACGGGCTGACCTTTCGGGTGTATAAAAAGACACCTTCTTGGACTTTTGGACTCGCAATACACAGCTATACTCAGCAATTACTCACATTCATGTGGGAACACGGCTTCAACTTACGCCTCTTAAAGCTGCTGACTGGCGTAGAAACTTCCACTCGACCTGTAAGCAGGTCTGGGAGAGTCGGAAATAGGGTAAATAAAAGAATGCGGAGAGTGATTGCACCTCCAAATACACAAAGTTTTCTTCTATCGACCGGCATTATGAACAGAAATCGAGATAGAAGTTCATAGTCCTATGGCGGTGAACAAAATGCCAGGAGCTTGGGGTCATTAAGGTTAATTGATTTCATATTCATGACCTTGAAGTGTCCCCACGGATCAACTTCGATGGTTGCAGCTGGAGGATGTTGACGCACGGGCCACATCGAGCTTTTCTCCGACTCCCGCACAACTTTTTTTTTTTCCAGCGCCTAAGCCCAACGTCGGAAACACCACGTCTTCGTCGCAATTCGAGCAATTCCGATATAAAAAATGGGGAAAATAAAAAAGAAAGGTACTGAACTCCCATTGTTCTGGTTTTATACCGGGTGAGGTTGCTAACGCTATTTGTTCAACAGGCACGTCTGGTCAAGCGAAAAATTTCATCACCAGAACTCAGGCAGTTCGCAAACTACAGATTTCTCTCCCTGATTTCCGAAGATTATGTATTTTCAAGGGTAAAGACTTTCACCCCTTTTATATGCATGATTCGGTTGTCTAAATTTTATGCTAGGTATCTATCCCCGTGAGCCGCGAAACAAAAAGAAAGCCTCGAAATCAGCGACCCCAAGCACTACCTTCTATTATACAAGAGACATTCAGTACCTCCTTCACGAACCTTTACTCAAGAAATTCCGGGAACAAAAGACCCTTTCCAAGAAGATCGCCAGGGCTCTCGGTCGCGGAGAAGTTGGAAATGCCGCGAGACTCGAGAAAAATAATGCACCGAAACTCTCCCTCGATCACATTATCAAGGAACGGTATCCAACATTTATAGATGCGCTTCGGGACTTGGATGATGCTTTGTCGCTCCTGTTTTTGTTTGCCAATCTACCCTCGACGACCTCCGTTCCGTCTAAAACCATTACCCTCTGCCAGCGACTGTGTCATGAATTCCAGCATTATCTGATAGCTACCAATTCTCTCCGAAAATCATTCCTCTCAATTAAAGGCATATACTACCAAGCTACAATTCTAGGGCAGGATATAATGTGGCTGGTGCCTTATCGATTTGTTCAAAGAGTTACGGGGGACGTGGACTACCGAATTATGGGTACTTTCGTAGAGTTCTACACCACGCTGCTTGGGTTTGTCAATTATAAACTCTATACTTCAATCGGTTTGGTTTATCCACCAAAGTTTGATAAGTCTAGCGATGAACGCGGCGCTGAGCTCGCAGCCTTCACCTTAGAAGGACGCTATTTTGGAGAGGCGCACAAGGCTATTGAGACTTCGCAGCAACCGAATGGGAGTGCTGAGAAAGTGGCGACTACCTCAAAAGAACTCCAGGCTAAGGTCGACAACATACTCGAAAAGACCCAACTCGATACAGAGCCCACAGACCAATCGACCGAAGACCGGGAAGATAACACTGAGGCCATCGACAAATTCGAACCAATTGCCCCTGAAGCTGACAGCTTACCACAACCACAAATCAGTGGCGATGAAGCAGGTTCATTATTTGCGACATTCACCTTTTATATCTCTCGGGAGGCTCCTCGGGCACCTCTTGAGTTCTTGTTGCGTTCGTTCGGCTGCAAGCGCATAGGGTGGGATAGCGTTCTTGGAGATGGTGCATTTACACATGACGAGCTAGACGCTCGCATAACCCACCAAATAGTTGACCGTCCACAACTCCCCCAGACTTCACTTCCCCCCTTACCTAAAAACCCCGAAGACGGAACCGAAGCCGCCCCAAGTGTAAGACCGGGAACCAGAGTCCCTGGCCGGACATATATCCAACCACAATGGGTTTGGGATTGCATCAACGAAGGAAAGCTTCTGCGCCCTGACCTTTATGCCCCTGGTGCTACACTCCCACCGCATCTGAGCCCATGGGTAAAGCCCTCCAAGCGTGGCTACGACCCAAGAGCCAGCCTGGCTGACCAAGAAGAGGAGGGTGAGGCTGAACGAGCTGCTGAAGCAGAAGAGTATGAAGACGATGAACAGGAAGAAAGTGAGGAAGAAAGCACTAAGTCGAAACAGAGCAAAGAATTGCTTGCTAACCTGGCTCGAGACTCTGGCGATGAAAACACATCCGGTGATGAGTCAGTTAATGGCGGAATGGACATTGCAATGGCAGAAGACACGGACGAAAGTAGCAATGACGGTGATGGTGCCGATAAATTCGAAGGGTTTGACCAGGATGAAGATATGAGTTCCGAGTCAGAAGACGAGGAGGAGAAAGCTCGCTCGCAACACCAGAAGGAACTAGAAGCTGAGGCGGCCGGGCTTCCGTTTTCGGCCTCCAGTCAAGCAGAGAGTGGAACCATTAAGGGCAAAAAGCAGCAAGCACCGTTAGCTAAGAAACGGGCGGCCCAGAAAAAGAAAGAAGAGGAGGAGCTCGAACGCCAGAAGATGATGATGAGCCGTAAGAAGCGCAAGCTGCTAGATAAAATGATTTACTCGAACAAGAAGCAGGATGCAGAAGCAGAAAAACTGAGGCAGAAGCGGAGAAAGATCGAACAAGGTCTTAAAAAGAAGTAGGCGAAAAGTCTTTTGATTGGGATTGATGTTCCCATGTGGTTTTTGTGGCCGCTTCTCCAAGTTCTTAGAATAGTACCTGAGAATTAGCAAATACCCGACTGCCACATCAGGCATTTTGTGCGGATATCGGTGAGAATACCTTTGTAGGAGTTTAATTTTATTATTTGGAATTTGAGCTCGGATATTCGAAACCGCATAGTTAATAAATCTTACTTGAATACGATCTTGTCCTGATAAATCCAGTTCGGGATGGTCCACTCTGCCAAGCCGGCTTGCCGAAAATACTTTTAAATCACGTGATTTATTTACAAACTTTTCTTAGGTTCCAAGGTTAGGAGAGAATAAAATATCCAAAGGTGAAGAAGAAAAACCACTGTATACCTATGTGTATCTGGTTCCTTCACAAGTCTTGGTTTCTTTTTTCATGTTTATTGAAAATTCAGTCACTTTTGTTGGTCTGACACCACTGGCATCATTTCTAGCTACACCGCGGACCGTTGTTGATCACGCTGGCTAAACGAGAAGTATGGAGAACTATTCATTGTTCTCATCCTCCATATCCACATTTTACCTGGGAATTTGGCTCCTCACTTTGAGCTAGGGCAAAAATGTCAGTGTCGAGTTCGCAATGGCCAGATTTACGACCCTCATCCACAAGCCCGCCACCATATCAACAAGGGTTGGAAATCGTTTCAAGAATTCCAGATGCTGAGGTTCTTGAAGATGAAGGGGACATGATTTCTGGACAATATTCTCCAGAAACAGAAGTTTCTGATGACGGAACTTACTACACCAACGATGGCAAACTCTCCGATTCGGACAGCAATGTGGATGAGCACGAGGAAAACCAGCAATCTGGACGAGAGGATGATTACGATTCATCAAGAGATTCTCGTGCACCGGAAAGACCAAACAGATATCCTGGTCCTCCGTCAACCTGGCGTGCCAAAACACGACAAGAAAGACACGAAATAAATTCTTTAGAAGCACTCCGTGCCCGAGATCTTTCCATTCATTTATTCAATGCCTTCGCACTCAAAAGGAGAGCGATGAGAATTAAATCTCAAAATTCGGAGCTAGATCAAGAGCCACAGTCTAAAAGCGAAGAAGACAAGACTTCACAATTCGTACCAACAAAGCAATGGACTGCATGGCCTCTACCTACAGACGAAGTGCCAAGAGGAGATGTACATGTACCGAGAGACGACTCTGACATCTGGAATATATCTGGCCCATCCGACGAACGACCTAGTGCAGAGTTAGAAGAGTGCCTCATTGCCCAAATGTTAAAAACCTCGAAAGAAAGATTCGAATCTCGATCGTGGGAAAAGCAACAGCCTCGTGTTCGCAACAGGCACACAAAAATGGCTCCCGGGACTGAGACTAGCGGTTCCATAAGTACAGGCGTAGATGAATCTGATAAAGACATTGCCATAAAACCCGACATTCAATTCCGACCAGTCGTCCAGGCGGATGATGACAAGTCAAGATCTATGCTCCGGCCAACAGCACGGCACATTCTCAGCGACCTTGACAATATCCTTATGAGTTTACATCACGCCCGGCAAGCCTATGTTTCAACTGTGGATTTGTCTCACAGCGAGCATGAAACAGAACACGAGGACGATTTAACTTCGAGATCTGTGTCAAGATCACGGGTCATATCTCGCCGCGGCAGATCGGGCTCCCGAGGCATAAAACGGTCACGCAATGCGCCCATGAATACGGACCCTCCCGCTACATCAGACCACGGAGGAGACATCGAGCTACCTGATGTCTCTAGTTCCAAATCACGCGTGAAGAATCCCCAACGAACAAGGTCAATTACTCCTCGACGCTCTCGCAGCCGATCTCCTGGTTCTAGACAATCCAAATTAGGTTTACGGGATTGGAGTGATATAGTCGGTATTGCCTCGATGTCAGGATGGCCAACATCGGTCGTCATGCGAACAGCGAAGCGCTGTTCTGAACTTTTTGGAGAAGACATGGCATTCAACATTCTAACCGAAGGTAAACTGGAGCTCAACGAAAGGGATAAGAAGCGCCTGCCAATGTGGGAATATGTCGAGAAGGAGGGATTGGGTGAATCCAGTACAGATGATGAAATTCTTGGATCTTCTAGAATTGCCCAGAAGCGCAGACGTGTCGGGGAGATTTACTGTCCTGTGAAGGAGTGTTCTCGCTCAACGAAAGGGTTTTCAAGGACCTGGAACTTAAACCAGCATATAAAAAACAGACATCCCAATTTTGAGCTTAGAGCCCGCCAAAGCAAATCTACCCCCCTCACTGAGGAATCTGGCTGAGGAAATTGATCCTTATACATTTGTATAACTATGGACGTTTAGAAAACAAACTGGCAATGGAAAAACTGGAGGACCATAATTTTGTTATCAAAAAACGAGGAATAAAAGAAGCAATGGTATCACTTTTCTCATACTTCCCATCTCGAAAAGGTCGCCATCTACTGGCGAGGATACAAGCCCAGGGGTAATTGAGATGGAATATGCACTGAGTAATTAATCATATTTGTACCCGATTCCACTTGGTTTCTCATTGCTCTTGAACCTCCCAAACCTCCTGCCCGAGCTCTTTCAGCGCCTCATCTAGGATAAGGAAATCCCCTTCTAGTGGCATTGAGGGCCGGCGAAGCATCACCTTTTCGAATGGCAATCTGAGTGGTGCCGTGCCCATCGTCGTTATCGACCCATTAGGCTGTCTAACAATATTGACCTCTTGCATGAGTTTGGTGACGGTTCGGTATGGGTTTGCTCTAGTCGGACGATCGATGGTCTCCCATCGTCGGATGGTGATCCTTGCCCTTCGGATTGAAATAGTAATAGCAATCTTGACATCTCCATTTGAATTTTCCAACCACCAATGTGCGTCGGCATCAACCTGATTCTGGCTCTCTGAATCTGCAACCTCGACAACCATGCTTGGCCATTGGGTCGCTCTGCCAGCTGGCAGGATGCGTGGACGATAGGAACAATCCGGTTCCTTGTCTCTCTGCAGGCCGTGGATTCTTGCTGTACCGTCAAGTCCAATTTGCTCTTCGAGACCCATTGGTCTAATTGCATCCTGCAGCAGCCTTTCAAATACCCGGCTGGCTCGTTCGTGTGGGCGTAGCACCATTTTTAGGACGAGGATTTTAAGTTGTTTGTGATAGGAGGAAAATTTTTTCTCGATGGCGTTGTGTTCGAGGACGTCTGAGGGAACGCCAGTGAAAACAATGAATTCGCTTGGGCATTCATCTTGCGAGGCGGACAGCGACTTCTCCTTCCCTTTGTTATTTTGATTGCTAAGAAGGTCCATGTGGGATTCAATCACGCGCTCCATGTTCGCAACACCTTGAAAACGATATTCACGGACTCCTTGGGGGATACCTTCCTTCCCTGCAACCGTTGGTCGGCCTTTTTGCTTCACTGATCTCCCCACCGCCATATTCATAAAGTTGCGAAGACTATGAGATTTGTATTAGGAAATTCACGCGTAGTCACCGTTTTACCTTCGTCCGATATTGATTGTGTGTTTTCCAAAATTGAGCCCAAGTTTCTCTGTGGCCAAAATTTTTGTGCGAGGAATCCAGTCAAACGGGTCATAAAGCAACGTTCAAACACTTTGCTTGTTGTGGTAGGGGGTAAGAGAGAACCCATCAAATGTATGGCAAGGGAATTTGTAGAAAGGAAAATAGGGACGATGAACACTACCTGAATGCAGGGGGGAATTGTATGCCGTCATATCATATGACGTAGTACCCATTGGAGCTTTAATTTAACTCGCGATCTATTTAACTTTACTTTATCCAGCTGTATCGCCCAAAACCAAGCACGAGCGTCCCTATGTTCGAGAATCAGGACCTGAGATCATTTCAAATCAAAAACAAACGTTGAGTATTGGGGTCTTTCCCCAGTGCTCTAGGCGGCTTCTGTTATGGAATTTTATATACCTAGACCCTTTGCCCCTCCATAAAACAAGTGGCGTGCGCCTACTGGGGCTTCACGCCAGCCTTGGAGTGGTATACGATGAGTGATTTACGCACTAACATGTGCAATCCCAACGGGACCGGCACTTAAATAGGTATAATTTGTTATCCATCCTCATGAGTCACAAAAGTCACAAATATCGACCTAGATATTCCTTCACGACATAGATTAAACTCCCAATTTTGAAATACTTCGAGATTTCAAGCACATTGTATCCCCTCATATTGTATCCCCTCACTCTTTATAAGAGGAAAAGCACTCAAAAGGCTAGAACATTATACACTACCGGAAACTGAAGAAAAACTACCATGTCGAATCCGACAAGAGAGGCGCTTGGGCCCACAGGCTCTCCCAGAGGACACGGACGCAGACGCGGACTCGGAGATGCGAGAGGTCGACGTCGAGGTCGAGGGCATGATACTATCATTGCAGATGAACGTGATAGCGAACGCGCACAACTACGAACCATCTCCCATGAAACTAAATTGATCATCCCGAATATCCTGCACGCGTCCAAGTCCAGCGCTGTATTAAGGGAAGGGTTCCTTTACCAATCTCCTACGACCCCTCCTCGCCTGGACCAGAAGCTCTGTCCTAAATTCGCAGGGACCAAGATCCAGGTCGCGGACGCAGATACCTTCGATGCCGCTATCCAGCTGCTCGGCGATAGCAACACTAGCCAGACGGGCTCCCTAACGGCACCCGTCGCTGTCCTGAACATGGCTAGTCCTTCTAACCCGGGTGGTGGCTGGCTCAGTGGCGCTCGAGCGCAGGAGGAGGCACTTTGCAGACGCAGCACTCTCACTGCATCCCTTAAACAATCATTCTACCCGACACCTGCCAATGCGGTGATCTACAGCCCGGCCGTCATTATATTTAGGAAGAGTGTCAAGGACGGCCATGGATTAATGGACTTGTCGGACACGGGTACACTCCCTCTTGTCAGCGTTATATCCATGGCAGCACAGCGTCGCCCGGAGGTGATCAGGGGTGCCGATTCAGCCATGAAGTTTGCAAATCCCAACGATCGAAATCTCACCAAGGAGAAAATGCGCATCATTCTGCGACTCTCTGCGTGGAAAAGACATCGGAAAGTGGTTTTGGGGGCGCTTGGGTGTGGCGCATTCAGAAACCCAGCAGAGGAGGTTGCTGACTGCTGGGCAGAGGTATTTTCGGAGCCTGAGTTCCGCGGTGGTTGGTGGGAGAAGGTGGTGTTTGCTGTGATCGATGAGACGGGTCTGGGGATACATGGGAATGGGAATGTTGGAATATTTTTCAGGGCGTTGGATGGCATTGATATATGATGCGGCTTCCACTGATCCGCTGTCATTTATCTATTTGTTTATATAGCTTACTGGTGCGCGGTGCATGATGATACCAATACAGGCGGGCCTCAACTCTGACTCTTAACTTACTGCGTACTTTATAATACGGCAATGGATGAGTCCAGATTCTTCATGATGCTAATGCGAGATTGGCTAAGCTGAACCTACTAAATCTGAACTCCAGCTCCACTTGCGAACTACGCAAATTTCCAAGCTTGGGAATCTACTACCCTTGGTTACTACTACTCCTTACTCCTCGTATAATTATTCTCTCCCGTCTGAGTCGCTGTCTTCTCTTGCCACGCTTCCAGTTATTATCTCCCCTATCCCCGAGAGAAATTTTTTTGAGTGTGCTATTAGCAGCATTGGGCTGACTTGGATGAGTGAAAAGATGTCCTCGCTTTTGCCGGCGTCCTGCCTCCAGAGACCAAAGCCCTTGAGCAGCGTGGGAGAAAAGGACATTAAGAAAACATCCCGAGTAATAGCTCCTAAAGTCTAAGAATGGGAATAATAGGCATCTAATCTAAAATGTGCTTGTGACTTGTGCCATATATATTTAAATATAAATATATAGTTATACATATAGTTATATGTCAACAATCAACGGAAGACCCTAGAATACACCAGCCTAGCGCCGGAGCTAATCCCCCAGTAAGAAGCTACGGGGACTTGATACTGGTAAACGGAGGCTTCTCTCTTCCTAACATCAGACTCCTCCATCCCCATGGTCTCTCTCACCCACTGCTGATGCATACCACCCCACCCATTACCAATCACTAACCACGTTATAGCAGGGGCAACTTCGCTCCTCTTTCGTTCTTATCCTCAATTGCTTGGTTCCCAAAGAGGATTCCTCCGTGACATCCTATCCCTGCCCAAGCACACAGCTTAGACATCCGAGTCAGCATTACATCATCGCGCTTGGATCTCGGATCTCCGCAGCTTTAGCCCTGGCCTGTCGTTGTTACGCCGGGTGCTCTGACGGCTTATCCCCCTCTCTTCCGTTCTCAAGAACCATTTATTTTCGCGATTGCTTTCCAAATGGACACATTACGTCGGTCCCTTTGCAATACTCTATCTCGACCGAGAATAAGATATCCTTTCACAGTACCTGCGGCCTCCTCTGTAAGGCGGTTAGCAACTATGCATACTGTGCCACCGGTAAGCTTTCAATGACTAGGGTTTGGAGAGACTGGAGACTTGGAGAATTGACGTGCTTGATTGTGTTCGTTTACAGTTGAAGGATAAATCCCTGTTTATCGAGAAATGCTACGTCAATGGCGAATGGATTGGGGCCCAGTCTGGAGAGACCTTTGAAGTGCATGGTCAGTGAGCTTGCAAGATACGCAGCTCTGCAATCGATCATGTAGCTGATAGCTCCATCTCTACAGATCCATCTACAGGGAAACTCATTGGAACATGCCCAGAGTTCTCGGTCCAAGATACCCAGAACGCTATCAATGCCGCCGCTGCAGCTTTCCCATCCTTCCGAAAAACCTTAGCTCGTGAGAGGGCTCGAATGCTGCGAAGATGGTATCAGCTGATGATGGACAACGCAGACGATATATCTACATTAATCACCTGGGAGAATGGGAAACCTTTCGCGGACGCCAAGGGGGAGACCGCCTACGCTGCCAACTTTTTCGAATGGTTCAGTGAAGAAGCCCCACGTATATGTGGTGATACTATTCCATCATCCATTCCCGGGAACAGGGTAATGACTATAAAGGAACCCGTTGGCGTTTGCGGGTTTATCACGCCCTGGAACTTCCCTGCAGCTATGGTTACTAGAAAAATCGGCCCCGCTCTTGCAGCTGGATGCACCGTTGTAGCCAAATCCCCCGCTGAAACGCCATTTACTGCCAATGCGATTGCAGAATTGGCGCACCGCGCGGGAATCCCCAAGGGAGTAGTCAATATTGTTACCGCCCATAGAAACACGCCTGAACTCGGCCTCTGCCTCACAACACATCCCGATATCCGCAAAGTTTCATTTACTGGATCCACCAACGTCGGCAAACTCCTTATGAAGCAATCTTCGTCAACCCTCAAGAAATTGTCGTTGGAACTCGGTGGAAACGCCCCGTTCATCGTCTTCGAGGATTGCCCGGACCTCGACGCAGCCGTCGCTGGAGCTATCGCCTCAAAATTCCGCAGCTCTGGCCAAACGTGCGTCTGTGCCAATCGCATCTACGTGCAAAATGGTATCTACGACGAGTTTGCTGCCAAGTTTGCCGAGAAAGTTAAAGGGTTCAAACTCGGACACGGATTCTCCGAGAGTGTTACCCACGGTCCCGTCATCCACTCTCGCGCCATAGACAAGGTGTCAGAGCATGTCACTGACGCTATATCTCTTGGTGCAACCGCTGTTGTAGGTGGTCAGAAGGCGCCAGATCTCGGCTCGAATTTCTTCCACCCAACAGTTCTTACTGGCATGACGAAAGATATGAAGCTGGCTTCTGAAGAAACATTCGGGCCCGTAGCGGGTCTTTTCGCCTTTGAGACCGAGAAAGAGGTTGTCGACCTTGCAAATAGGGCTGAGGTGGGTTTGGCTGGATACTTTTACAGCAAAGATGTGGCACGGATTTTTCGTGTCGCGGAGGCTCTGGAGGTTGGAATGGTTGGAGTCAACACGGGTATTATCAGTGATACCGCTGCTCCGTATGTTTTTGAACCCCATTGTTTTTCTGATCCTTTTCTCCCTGTAACTTTAACTAACTCGACTGTCGTTCACAGATTTGGTGGCATCAAGCAAAGCGGATTTGGCCGCGAAGGCAGCAAGTACGGCGTAGACGAATTCCTTACTATCAAGACCGTGACTTTCGGCGGCGTTGGAGGACCCCTCCAGGAGTAATTCAGTTGATCTCCCTATGTATCTTGTCCGAATGAATTTTTGAGGAGTATATAATTAAATTTTTTTATTTATTTTGTTTGTCCACGTTAGGATTTTCTTTTGTTGGTTTTTGTAGAGATAGGACTAGAAGCAGTAAGTTTACTCTGTATTGCCTTGGAATCCAAAAGCTTTCGAAGCGGATTTCATTTTCAAATCAAATTGGCCTGGCTCATTTGGTCTTCGAATAAGATTAAATAATAAACCAGTTACTAGATTCTTGGGGTTGATATGAAGTTAGGCTCAATTGTGAAGCTCCAGATGTTGTTGAACCACGGACCAGCTTCTTCACTTTATTCATACTAGTGTAGTATTCTTAGACTGCATCCATAGTTCCATTAGTTGCTTCAAGTAAATGACCTACTAATGAGCCACATGCACAGACATATGTGTGGAGTGGACATGAGTATCTATCTAATATATCCATGAATCCGCCGTCGGCTACACGGTAAGGTACGACCTCGGGACCGTTATCGTAAAGAAGCTCCTCCTTGCTTCTCCTCGTCGAGCCCACCCCACCTACTGCCTCACGGGTTATCAGCTAAGTCGATTCACCTTCAAACCCTGGCAAACAGGAGCAACACTCACTCGCCCTTATATCTGCGGATATCATGTCGAAAATAGCTCTTCCATTCATGCCTTCCAGTACTCCAGCTGGGGGAGTGCCAAACGTGGGGCAAAGAAGCCTTCCCCCGCTTATCCAAGAAAAGGAACAAAGACCATCCCAGATCAAATTCGTCCGAGCGGCGCAAATGTGTCTCTTTGCTGATATTACTAGCTGGCCACCACTGGGACAGGTTACTTGCTTGAAAAGGAGTGGGAATGGGGATAAGGTATGCGAACTCCAAGACCCCCAAACCCCCCGCGCCCGCACCCTGGCCTTTGTCTATAGAGTGATGTTTTGAAACATAGCAATTTGATTCTGTATATGTGGTATCATTTGTTGTTTGTTCCCACATGCGTTCAAATACAATTGTCTCTCTACTCTCTACTAATACTCCATTAGGTCCGGTTTACTGTTCTCCTCCAGTCAAGCCGTTCACTTCCGGAACAGACCTGGGAAGTTTCCATCTGGCATAACGTCAATAACAGGGATCGTTGGGAAGCTCTCCCTTTGCGAAAGGGTTCAGCATCACAAATGATTATGTTGTCAGTGGGTCCGGCACCGGGGCCAGATTATCATACCTACAGCTTCTCTGAGGAGCTTGACTTCCCAAAAGTCGGTAGGCATGCATCTTTTACTGTTAGATATAGAATTGATGCAAATGCCTCATGGCAGTGGGTCAATGATCAGTTCGGAATGAAAGATGGGGAACTAGTTTTTGAACCGACCCACTCGCAACTTCTCAAAGATCTTGATCCGGTCGCCCAACCGTCGAAGTCGTTAACGGAGTACTTAGATGATCTCAATCCCGATCTCCAGATTGAGGCACATCCAAGTGAATCTCCAGGTGCAATTTTATGGAGCGTGACTGGTTCCATCTTGTCTGCCGTTGGTGACGAGAGCACATTCGAAGAGATAAAATTCGGCCTCCCGAAAGACTTCGTCAGATATTTTGCTCTTGTTCGAATATGGGAACCTTGGTTGGCACCTCGACATGGCCTGAGCAAGCTAGCTCTCACGGAGGATTCCATTTTTCTAGCATTTCTGCGCAAGGATGGAACTCATCTCGTTCTCCTAGCGATCAGTGGTGTGGACAATGTCCTGACTACCTTCAAATCTGGAGACAATGGCCAGGTTGTGACTGCTGTGAAGAACGATAGTATCCACAACTCGACATATCAGGTCCTAGTTGCAGTGGCACCTTCTTTCGAGGTTGCCAATTCTGCTGTAATGTACGAGGCACGAAAAGCCTTGGGAAAGCTTTCCGGGACTGGGCCACCTTCTCCGTCCATACCGCAGGAGCTGAGTGAACCGAAATCGCCGTTAGGCAACGATGTGGTTATCGTGGAGAATGACCCCCAGGTCCAATGGATGTATGATTGGTATGACGGCCTAGCGTATTGTACTTGGAACGCGTTGGGTCAGGATCTCACGGAAGAGAAAATATTAAAAGCCCTCGATACGCTAAAGGATAACGGCATTAATATTGTCAACCTCATCATAGATGATAATTGGCAGGCGTTGGATAACAAGAGCGAGTCTCAGTTCAAACGAGGATGGATGGAATTTGAAGCGAATAAAGATGGGTTCCCAAATGGGCTGAAGCACTTAACTAGCAAAATACGACAGCATTACCCGCATATCCAACACATCGCCGTCTGGCATGCTCTCATGGGCTACTGGGGTGGTATCTCGCCTCACGGGCAGATCGCGAAAGAGTACAAAACTAAGATTGTCAAGAAACGTGACGGCGTTGCGGGAGGGAGTATGTTGACAGTTGATCCCGATGACATTCATCGGTTCTACGACGATTTCTACAAATTTCTTTTGGCGGCTGGGGTTGACTCTGTGAAGACAGATGCCCAATTCTTCCTCGATTTGCTCCAGGATCCTGCTGATCGGGTCCGATTCACCACGGCATACCAAGACGCTTGGTCGGTTGCCTCATTGCGATACTTCCAGGCCAAAGCAATCACTTGCATGTCGCAGACACCGCAAATAATTTTCCATTCACAAGTACCGACCAACAAGCCAAAGATGCTCTTGAGAAATTCCGATGACTTCTTCCCCAATATTCCCTCGTCTCACCCCTGGCACGTGTTTTGCAATGCACATAATGCTCTGTTCACCCAACATCTCAATGTCATACCTGATTGGGACATGTTTCAGACTAGCCACCCGTATGCATCTTTCCACGCGGCAGCTAGATGTGTCTCCGGCGGTCCGATATATATCACTGACGTACCGGGTGAACATGATATCAACGTTATCAACCAGATGACAGCCCCAACAGTGGGAGGTAACACCGTCATTCTCCGGCCCAGTGTCTTGGGAAGGTCCATTGACGTGTATCATAACTACAACGAAGGTAAGATGCTCAGAGTCGGCGCCTATACTGGCTGGGCCAAGACTGGCAGCGGAATCCTGGGCCTTTTCAACGTCAGCGCTCAGAAAACCAGTTCTATGATCTCCATTCTTGATTTCCACGGCGTCTCCCCTGGTAGCGAGGATGAATATCTAATCCGTGCACACTCCACTGGGAGAATCTCACGCATAATAAGGCCCTCCGACCAAGATCCCCTGGTCGCCATATCTCTTGAGACGAAGGACTGGGAAATTTTAACCGCCTACCCGGTCCGGAGCTTCGAAATGCCAAATCCACTTGACAAGGACAAAACCACAAATATAGAGGCCACTACTACCACCACAAGTGTCGCTGTCCTAGGCCTCCTAGGCAAAATGACTGGCGTGGCTGCTATTGTGAGCTCAGACATTTTCCTCGTGGCCAACCGTCGTCTCAGATTTGATGTTACGCTGAAGGCATTGGGAACACTAGGCATTTACATTTCTGACATTGACACACGCTCCATAGAAAAAGGCTTTATGGTCATGCTTTCGGGTCGAGCGGTACCAGTGCATACCGTTCAGTTGCAGCCTGCGGGAGCTGGTGGGCAGAAGGTTGTAGCAATTGATGTTGCGGCAGCGTGGAAGGAGCTTGGCTTATCTAATGGATGGAGTAACGAGGTTGTTGTTCAAGTTTTTTTGAGCTAGTTCCTCTTCACACCTGTTAGCTCCTCTTGATTGTTTTACGTTGGCACGTATCAGGTGTTGCGGTGCGTCAAAGGCAAGAGATCATTCATTATCCTCACTCACATTTTTTGTTTAATCGATGTTTTATGGAAGCCGCACTATCCACTTAGCGCCCTGCATGGAATGGACAAGCTCGCGATGTTAGTTTTATTTATTAATTTGCATATAGATATATTGAACATTTTGCAAATGATGCACGACTTCATGTGCCTTGCTACGTGCACGTACACCTTCTGATCATCCTTCCGCAACCTTCCTCGTAAAAAGTTAACTAACTGGTTGACCCTGGCGCTTAATAAGCGCATAAGTTTGCTGCGTTGTCGTATTATCATTTATCCGGCGTTCCCTCCATGCTTGCTGATTGGCTTCAAATATGGAAAAAACTTGAGCAAAGTCCCTTGTATTCTCCGCAACAGATGGAACCGGGTTGTATGTACTAGCCCATTGATATAGGGCCTAGGAGCTTCAGCTAGCCAGGCAGCTCTTGGGTGCCTGTAACTCAACTTTATTTGTCCCTTGCTTCCCAATGATGGCGCAACTACACCGATGTCCAAGCTGCGCCCTCTCTTCGGCCTCATACGTTCCTTCCATAATATTTCCCAGATCGCACAATGCGGGACTCACGTTGCTACTGCGACCAAGGCGGCTTTCCGCCGCGACAGCACCTCGTCTTCAAAAACGAAATATAACAATGCAGCATATCCGGCGGATGAGAGAGGGAGAGGAGGCCTGGAAAAACTTTGCGGAGGAGATCAAGGCTGGAACGAGGAAGAGCTTTTTGGAACTTATGGAAGAGCGGGGTTTAGTTAACGCAGTGATCGGGTACGTCATTTCGCTTCTGCTCTTGGATAGAATTAGCTTATATCGGTGCTTTTGTGTTGTTTTTCTACTCTTGATTCGTTCTTCACAACCCCCCCCCCCCCCCCCCTTTTTTTTTTTTTTCTGTTGAATGGCTGGCGCGAGGAGAAGACTTCAATTAATGTTTCTCGATTGTAGTAATCGTGATGCGTTGAATAGAATGTGGACGGAAAGGCGAGTGGGTGTATATGTCGGTGTTGACCCTACGGCACCATCACTACATATTGGACACATGTTGCCTTTTATGGTCCTGGCATGGGCTTATGTCCATGGCATTAGAGCGGTTTTCCTGGTAGGTCTATCAGCCTCAAAATTCACTTATGCTACATCCGCATTTATGGTGCTATGGGATGTCCCTGTATAACTAATCCAAATCAACAGTTAGGAGGATCTACCAGCCAAATTGGCGACCCTACCGATCGATTAGGCCCTCGAGCCAAAATGGCCAGCTTCACGCGCAAGGAAAACATGGCGAACATGCACCTTCAGCTTAGACGGCTTGGGATGTCAATTGAGAGATACGGAGCTAAGCATGGGTACGAATATGAATGGATATGGAGACGAGCAATTGTAAATAACAATACTTGGTGGCTCAAAGAACCATTCTTCGAAGTCATGAAGACAATGGGAGAAGCTGTGCGATTAGGGCCGATGCTTGGGCGCGATACGTAGGTAGAGTATTTTTTCGCGAATTTTTAATTACTTTTTCCATGTTCCTCTTAGGCGGGAGTGACTAATACCAAATGGCTTGCAGCGTGAAGAATCGACTGCAGAGTGGCAAAGGCATGGCGCTTTCGGAATTCGTTTATCCACTTCTGCAAGCGTGGGACTGGTGGCAGCTCATCCAACAACAGAATGTATTAGTGCAGGTTGGCGGGTCCGACCAAGCAGGTAATATTCAGTTCGGGATGGATGCAACGAAACCCCTCATGAAAGCAAGCAACGAATACTGGCGAAAACATGCCCCGAACCCCGAAGACCGTGAATTATTGGAGCCTATGGGTTTCACCACTCCTCTCCTTACAACTCCTTCCGGCCAGAAGTTTGGAAAGTCAGCTGGGAATGCGGTCTGGCTTGATCAGGACATGACGTCAAGCTTTGATCTTTATCAGGTACGAAGCTTACTGCCTTGAATTCGGAATTGCTCCTGTCAAGTCCCCAAGACTAATTAGTTTGCAGTTTTTCTTGCGAGTCCCTGATGAGAACGTTGAGCAATATTTGAAATATTTTACATTCCTCCCCATAACGGCCATCAAAGAACTCATGGAACGGCACGTTCAAGATCCATCTAAGAGGGTAGCACAGCACAAACTCGCATCAGAATTCGTCGAGCTTATTCGAGGGCCTGTAGAAGCTGCTCAGGCTGAAAAAGATCATCGAAGCATTTTTGGCGGTCAAACGCCCACTATTGAAATGGAGGCACGCACAAAACGTGACCTCAACCTCTCAGAGACCCATCCCTTTAACGCACCATCCCCACATATCACTCTTCCGCGATCGTTAGTCGTTGGTCAATTCTTCCACAAGGTTCTATGGTCAGCAGGCATGGCACCATCAAAAGCGGAAGCATTCCGACTTATCGTCAATAATGGTGCATCAGTTGCGTCGAGGTCTGACTCGACTGCTGTCATGGATGATAAAATGTCCTACGTTCCCATCAAAACTTGGGACAAAGATATGACGAAGAAATTTATCATTGATGATTCGATGATGATTCTCAGAGTTGGGAAATGGAAGGTTAAGATTATCAAGATTGTAAGCGATGAGGAATTTGAGAAACTCGGGCTCGACGCGCCAGGATGGAAGGGGGACGAAAATGAATCTGAAATAATATCTGAGGAAGAAGCAGGCAGATCGAGCAAGGGGTCGAAGGCTTCAAGCTGAAATACCACTCTTTTCCTTTCCAGTTTTTGAGGTTTGCTCTCTTCTATCTTTGCTATATGTATAAATATATCTGCACTGTTATAACCTCCTTTTTGTACCATACTTTTTTTTTGGTTTTCTAGAGCTGTACATTAGAGCGACTCCATGTCCGATTCCCCCTGAAATTTTCTCCGAGCTCCCCAGCTCCAGCTTGCTTTTACATATAGAACACATACGTTTGAACTAATATGTGGTACATATAATATACGCAATACCATCCTGATCTTTATATAGAGTAAAAGTCATTCTTCTAAAATCCAAATAACAACTTGAACTTAAAGCTATCTCTATATCTTGCGCGTATTTGATATCACGTGGATGAGACCCATTAACCGCGGACGCGTCGAACACGCTAAGCAACCGTGGATCCATCAACGTCGGCTGTCACGTCTCCCGTTCGACATCGATCCTCAGAGTCCGGGAGAGAATCCTCTCGCAACTCCCCTTCAGCCTCTCTTGCTTCCCTTGTTTTTATCTTACTTTATTATTGAAATTGCTAGCAGATTATCAGCTGTATGAGTACAGGAAGTAATATGCAATTCTTCAATTGACTGCAATTCTCACTACCTATCCTTGTCGTTCTCTCCAGCGCAGATTTTCTCCTGAAATATGGCAGAGGACAGTGGGCAGCAAAAAACGCCAGATGCTCGTATCCTTAAGAAGTCAACTCCGAGCACACAGAATATGAAAAGCCAAAAGTCAATCCTGGGCTTCTTCCAAAAATCTTCCCCGTCGGCTTCTGCCGCTTCTCCTGCTCGCCGGAACGATGCTAGCCAGGAGCCAGTGTCGTCACCTGCTCAGCGAGCGGCCTCAAATCAAAAATCCCACAAGAAGCCAGAACCAAAATTACCAAGATCATTGAATACTGGACGAAATAAAACTGTAACCAGCAGTGGGCAGAGCATAACCCCAGTTCCAAGTAGCGATGCAACCGGATATTGCGAGGAGGATGCCGAGGTGGAGGTTTCCGCCGCAGTAAATGGTGATGGGAAGACCGAGGCAAGTACTGAGAGTGCGGCCGATGGTGGTCTAATGCCTTGCCCATCACACCTGCTAACAGGCTTACGGTACAGATTGACGATGAAGGAGCTGATCGAAGCTCTGTCACACCTACTCGTCGGGTAAGCTTGTCTGCTCTAGGTTTTGTTATATGTATATTTCATGCCTGCCTGGGAGAACGTATGCTGATCTACTTAATTATTGTATTCTAGGCAAAGAAGGCTGTCAAGAGCTATCTAGAATCAGATGATGATGAGGATGTCTTGCCGATTAACAGAAAATCTAGCCGAAGGTCCCTTAAGAGGAGAAAAACAGCTGCAGGGTCAAGCGACGAAGACGAATTCAAGAATGATACCGAGTTTTCTGATGATGGTCAGCACAAGCTGTACCCCTCAATTTGATCAGGATCAGCTAACTTTTACAAGTAGACTTGGACAATTTCGTTGTCCCAGATGACTCCGAGGACGAAGTGAAACCGTCAAAAAAACGCAAGCGGCCCTCGAACACTGCTGTCAAAATATCTTCGTCAAAACCATCCCCAATACGAGATGAGGAGTTTGACTTTGAACTTCCAGATGTTTGCGGTGGTTCTGCCCTAAAGTGGACTTACGATCCCAATGACACGGAGCCACGGAAGCCACGACCTGCTGTTGTCAGGAACATTGCGCCAGGAGAGAAGAAAAAAGTGAAGGCGCATATGAGTGAACCAGAGCAACGGTATCCCTGGCTTGCTAATATCACTGATATTGACCGAAATCCTCCTGGCCATCCTGACTACGACCCCCGGACTATTTACATCCCTCCTCTTGCGTGGACCAAATTCTCACCTTTTGAAAAGCAGTACTGGGAAATCAAGCAAAAGTTTTGGGACACCATCGTCTTTTTCAAGAAGGGTAAATTTTATGAGCTTTACGAAAATGATGCTACTATTGGGCATCAACTGTTTGATCTGAAACTCACGGACCGTGTGAATATGCGAATGGTTGGCGTTCCAGAAATGAGCTTGGACCATTGGGCCAATCAATTTGTTGCCAAGGGCTTCAAGATCGCGCGGGTAGATCAAAGCGAGTCCGCCTTGGGTAAAGAAATGCGAGAGAAGCAAGGTAAATCCAATGGCACACCAGGGAAGCAGGACAAAATTATCAGGCGTGAATTGTCTTGTGTCTTGACTTCCGGCACTCTTGTGGATGGGTCAATGCTTCAAGATGATATGTCAACATATTGCGTGGCTATCAAGGAGGCGTTAGTCAACGACCTCCCGGCATTCGGTATTGCTTTTGTTGATACTGCCACCGGCCAGTTCTATTTAGCAGAGTTCATTGATGATGCCGATATGACAAAGTTTGAGACGTTTGTTGCCCAAACCCGACCCCAAGAATTACTGCTCGAGAAGTCTGTCATGTCTACCAAGGCTTTGCGGATCCTGAAAAATAACACTGGACCAACTACCCTCTGGAATTATTTAAAACCCTGCAAGGAGTTCTGGGAAGCCGATGTTACTGTCCGGGAGCTTGATGCCAGTAATTATTTTGTTTCGGAAGAGGGTGACAATATCGCGGCATGGCCAGAAGCACTACGACAGGCACGGGACAAAGAATTCGTCATGTCAGCATTTGGGGCGCTAGTGCAATACTTACGGATGCTGAAAATTGAAAGAGATTTGATCACAATCGGAAATTTCACTTGGTATGACCCGATCAAAAAAGCAACCAGCCTTGTCCTGGATGGCCAAACTTTGATAAACCTTGAGATATTCGCCAATTCATTTGACGGGGGCCAAGAAGGAACACTCTTCCACCTCTTGAATCGATGCATTACGCCTTTCGGTAAAAGACTATTCAAACAATGGGTTTGCCACCCATTGATGGATACTAGGAAAATCAATTCGCGACTGGATGCTGTTGATGCCTTGAACGCAGATAGCAGCGTCCAGAACCAATTTTCATCTCAGCTAACAAAAATGCCTGATCTTGAGAGACTTATTTCTCGGGTCCATGCTGGAAGATGCAAAGCTCAGGATTTCCTCCATGTTCTTGAAGGATTCGAGAAAATTGATTACACAATGAGCCTCCTAAAGGAAATCGGTTCCGGGGAGGGAGCCATTGGACAATTAGTTGCTTCAATGCCTGATTTGAATGGTTACTTGCAATACTGGAAAACTGCTTTCGATCGTACCAAAGCTAAGGACTCCGGTATTCTTGTTCCTGAAGCTGGTGTCGAAGAAGACTTTGATGCTTCCCATGATAGGATTTCTGAAATAGAAAGTGATCTGGATCGACTTCTGAAGGAAGTTAGAAAGAAGCTGGGTTCCAATGCCATCGTTTATCGGGATAACGGAAAAGAAATTTATCAACTTGAAGTACCAATCAAAATTAAAAACGTCCCAAAGGACTGGGACCAAATGTCCGCGACCAAGCAGGCGAAACGCTTCTATTTCCCTGAGCTACGCAGCTTAATTCGCCAGCTTCAGGAAGCACAAGAAACTCATAGCCAGATTGTCAAAGAGGTTGCGAGTCGGTTTTATGCTCGATTCGACGAGAATTATTCGACCTGGCTAGCAGCTGTGAGAACCATTGCGCAACTTGATTGTTTGATTAGTTTAGCAAAAGCCTCATCAGCTTTAGGATACCCAAGCTGTCGCCCAGTGTTTGTGGATGATGAACGGAGCGTCCTAGAGTTCGAAGAACTTCGACATCCATGTATGTTGCCCAACGTGGACGACTTTATCCCCAATGATGTAAAGCTAGGAGGAAACACCCCAAATCTCAACTTGCTCACTGGTGCTAACGCTGCTGGGAAATCCACTATATTACGCATGGTTAGTATTTTACTTCCCCCTTACCCTTCTACATCTGACAATTGTCACAATACTAACTTTGAACCCCAGACTTGTACAGCTGTAATCATGGCACAAATTGGCTGCTACGTTCCCTGTCAATCTGCTCGCCTAACACCTGTTGATCGTATCATGTCCCGTCTCGGCGCCAATGACAATATTTTCGCGTCACAGTCTACTTTCTTTGTTGAGCTCTCAGAAACCAAGAAGATTTTGTCCGAAGCCACGCCTCGCTCCCTTGTTATTCTGGATGAATTGGGGCGCGGGACAAGTTCGTATGACGGCGTTGCGGTGGCCCAGGCAGTGCTTCACCATGTTGCTACCCATATTGGCGCCCTCGGCTTCTTCGCAACTCATTACCACTCCCTCGCTTCTGAATTTGAAGGGCATCCAGAAATAGCTCCGCGACGAATGCGCATCCATGTGGACGAAGAAGAGAGACGAGTTACATTCCTATACAAGCTTGAAGAGGGTATTGCAGAAGGAAGCTTCGGCATGCACTGTGCTTCCATGTGCGGCATTCCAAACAAGGTAGTTGAGCGTGCTGAAATTGCCGCCAAGCAATGGGAACATACAAGCCGTTTGAAAGAAAGCGTTAAGCGTAGGAAAGGAGGTGGGCTAATTGGTTTAGGATGGTGGAGTGATGTTGCATGGGTGCTAAAGGATAAAAATAATGCGGAGGCGGAAGATGGTTGTGGAGCTGTAACTGAGAGGGGAATTGATGTTCTGCTTAGGGCTATTGAGAGCTTGTAGCCTTCGAATGCGACCTCACTGTGCAAGTTACTCAGCTATTTCAAGCATATCCTCGAATGGATTTGCCTCTAATTTCCCACCCGATGATGATATCTTTGACATTATTTATTTGTACAATTCTGGCGTTCTGGTTTTTATTTTTATTTTATATTTCTATTGCTACCCCCTATCCATTCACATATATTTCTGCCCTATCATCACCCCCTCTGTTGGTGTGCGGCGAGCATATTCTTACGGTTGCCTGTACAGCACGACGGGATGATATACAATCAGTTAACAGCGTAGACAATAGAAATAATATATTCTTAATATCCTTAAATCGTTTCTAAAATCAACTGAGGTTTCTTGTCTTCCACAAGTCTGATTACTCGTCCTTCATCCCTACGCACACTCTGTACTCTTCCAAGCTGCTGCCTCGTACCCTACCACCTGTTCCACATATTCTTTCCCAGCACCAACCCACCCCTTAATTCCCCCTTCGAGTACAAGACTCTGCATTCCTCCAGCACCTCCACCCTCTTTCTCCAGAATGTAATCTGCAAACCAACCACTAGCGCGTGTGCCACGTCCGGCAGATGAACCTGAAATAAAATCATTGTGAGCAGTGAACAAGTTCAATGATCTCTCGAGGAAAATACAGAAGCCAAGGAGCGGAGGAAGTGAGGAAAACATTGAAATCGAATAAAACAGTAGAACGATCAAGAATATAGCCTGTACGAACCGCAATACCAAATGACTTTATTGACACCGGCCTGCTTGAAGATTGTGTATAGCGTGGGAATGGACTGGTAGAGGCTTTGGGCAGGGAGATTTAAGGAGGTTGATATTGTGCCGCCCTGCGTATAGTTTCTCCGTTAGATTGCTCTAATTTTTTTTTGGCTTCAACTTGTCGAGAAATGCAGCATCGTGGCTTAAAACCCCTTTTTCCTCCTTTTCTCATGCAGGATTGTAAGACTTCCCTCCGATAAAATAAACGGGCCATATACCGGGTTGAACCAAGCTCGTGCATGATTCTACCCAGATCCTACTCCCTTCTAGAAGTAGAAGAGTTTGAATCATTCAAGAGCGATATCCCAATCCTTATCTACATGTTCAAAATTGGCTACATCAAACATGAATATTGAAGAGAGCGAGTAGTTAATCAACGAAACATACCTCATGGTCTGCCCTTCTCAGATCAACCAGGACGTAATCTCTCGGCGCGCCATTCTTCGACAAATCTTTCAGCCATCCAAGGACTTCTGAACGAGAAATAACAGCGGCCTTAGTCTTCGGCGCTGGGAATGCTTCATGCCAGGGGGTGTCTTGTTTTGGTCCCTGTTCTACTGCTACTGTTGCCATGATCGATGCGGGGCAATGTGATACTGATACTGTGGCCGGGAGGTTGTGTAGTACTTGAAGAGGTGATTCTTAAATGGAATAAGAGCACACGTTCCTTAACTGAGATATCTTCTTCAGCGATTGAAAACCCTACCCTTGTTCGTTAGAGCTAATCAGCGTAGAAATGGCGTGATGATGCTACCAGTATTGCTCACGAGTGGATGGTCGTCACCAAGGAATTATTTAATCAGATGAGCCGGAATTGCCAAGCCTTCATTATATAGTAACTATCTCATCCCGTTCTGACGGATTAGTGTGGAATGGCCGCAATTGATATTCAAAATAAACCTGAATTTTATTTTTGGACGCTGTATTGTGCAGAAATACTGCGTGTGAGAATTGTGGAGGGAGCTAAAGGAGCAAACGAAGGTCAATCAAAGCACTGAGGACGAAAAAGAGGATTGAATAACTATAAATTAAACGGAGGCAGTATATTTTCTACTACGAGGAATGTATTCCAAGATAGCTAGATGGATAATATACACAGGCAATACTATTCTACGGTATCTACTCCTCAAAGTCAGGTATGCATGACAAAGGTAAAGTGGATGTACTGAATTTGATCCGCCATATTTCACTAAGCACAAGGCAGTTCTCAAGAACTCAATTTGTCAAGATACATACCCCCAGAAAAATATCAAGGAAAAAGCCAAATAGCAGCTATTCATTAATTATCATCTCCGAGTAAACAAGCAAAAGGAAACATCGAGGTTACTAAACCGCCCAATAGCGAAATCAAAACACGTGTGACTTGCTCGAAAGTAAAGAGAGAAATAGATTGGACAGCTTTTATGCGGCAACCCGAGGAAATCGGTCGTCGTTATGGACCCCAACGTGGCAGCAGGCAGTTCTCATGCACAAAACCGAAGTAATGATTTTTTTTTTTCGGAATTTATGCTCGCAGAACAACCGCTTCGTATATGGTTCTTCGAGCAGAGTGTCACCCGATCTTTACACAGAAACCCGTTTAGAATCCGTCCGGCCCATCTTCACTTTCACTTTTGTAAGTCTCGACATGCCACAGCGATTGCTCAAAAAAGGACCATTCGAGCTCAGAGCGGGGATATGACGTGCCTTCAATCATCTCAGCAGCGAGATCATTGGCAAATTCAGACTTAATGGGTGCCAGCGCACCATTGCTGTTTCTGAAAAGTGGATTTATTAATTTTTGCTTATGGTTGTCATGATATGGAATCAAGCGGGAAATATATGATAGATACTGTTTTGAAATAAACTTACTCATGTTTAACCCCAATGTCAGCGCCCATCATGCCAGTCATGTCCACATCATGTTCGGCCTCCGCTTTGATTTTGCTGGATTTGGTTGGAGATGGATCCGCTTCAAGGGTGGCCGCAGCGAGTGCGGCTTTAGTGGTCTTGTCTTTCCCGCGAACAGACGATTTCGGTGTACGTTTAGTAACTTTGTTTGCCTTTGCTGGAGTCGTGGGACCCATTTCATTGTCGTTCGGAGTCGAACTAGATCCTCCTTGTTGGGTGGCCATCATCAGCTTGCGCCTGGCTTTTCCATAGAGGACTGAAGCAGAGCTAGCATTTTTCAGGCCAGCTTTCTCAGCAAGCAGCTCATAGTTGACCTATAGCCTCGAAATATTTGTGATTAGAAATAGAGATACCCCGAATGAATGGAGACACCCCACCGTGACTAAATGTCACAGCTGTGTAAAGAGATAGTGGGTTTTGGCAGAAGCTCTGGGCGAACTAAAAAGAGTATGGGCAAAAGGTAGAATGAAAATAAATACCTTGATTCCAGCCAAGCCTTCGGTGGTACAGGTCATTGCAATAAAGAAGATGCGTTGCTCCCCAGCAGACATGACGGTTTCGAAGCCCTCCATTTCGGCGACACGTAACTGGTGTTTGTTTGGGATATATGGTTATTATCACTTATAGTCTAGGAAAGTATGAAAGATGAGAAGAGTGAAACAGAGTGTGCTGATTGCTTGGTGATGTTAAAGGAAAGGAGGCCTATGGCTTATGCCCTGAAAAGAATATATGGTAGAAGAAGTCAAAGTTAAGTGAGATAGTAGAGAGAAGTAAACAACACAACACAAACTTTAGGTAAAGCCTTTGATTTTGTAAGAAGAGCTTGGTTGGTTGCTAAGGCGCTGCTGTTAACAAATAATGAATAACGATTCTCGTTGGCCTGAGGAAAGATTGGAAGAGATGTGTTAGGATCTGTGCGGCTCTGTGCCAGCTGCTTTGAAGGAAGTGAAATAGACAGTCCAAATTGAAAAAAGCAGTGTCTTTGACATGGCAAAATTTAAAGAATACAAATGAGAATGAATTGCATCGGCTGCTCAACTTGCGCCGCTCAGAGTATTCTCCTTTATTTTCGCAAATACCCCTTCCCATACTTCTGGGAAGTATTTTGAAGTGGGTTTCGAACTGAGACGTGTTTTAACTGGGGCATAGAAATAAATATTATTCCCCTTCCACCACGACTGAGGGCCTGGTTTGGTACTGATTAGGTTAACTGGTCGGAAAGCTGAACGCCCCAGGACCAAGTCAGAAAGCGCCACCTGGGTGCTCCGAAAGTAAAAATTCAATTTCATGGTTTCAATATCCAATGTCGCGTTTTGTGGTACATCTTTTAAATAGAATTGTGTACGTTGTCGTGTCTGTCTGGCGGCATGCGGAAGTTTGAGGTATATAAGGTTGACAAAAGGAGCTGTCGTGTATAAGACGAATAGCATGGGAATGGAACCACCAATAACAACTTCATTTAATTAGCATAGGCAATTCAGATATTCAATCATGCGAGGAAGACCTACTAGCTGGAGTTATGTACCAGGGGAAATCGCTGGAATAATAGAAAGCTGGAGCGACAACCAGACTAGAAACACCAAATATAAGAAGGGTGGTGATACGCATCATACCAATGAAGGCTATCTTTCCCGTACCCGCATGATAGATGAGGACTTTTTCAAGTTTTGAAGTTTCTATATATCACAAAATAAAAATCTGTGAGCAGGAGGATGTGCTAGATAGCTACAAGCTTGATCTGGAGAACATACCATTTTTCCTTAATTTACCAGCGGCTGTGCGAACCGGAGGCCGCAAAATCTGCAATGAGGGTTTTCCACTGCTCTTCAGTGCTGATTTAGAAGACGTTTCCCCAACCGATGAATTGAATCGTAAGCAAAACTTGTTGTATATATTTCTCTGGCCGTGCTGAGTGCTGGGGCACTGTCGGAGCGGAGGGCGGGAAAGCAGCCTCCTCATATCTACTAGGGAAAGGGGTTGCTGAACAATTGGGACATCAACAAGCAGCAAATTCCATGCATATATCAATGCTTCCTACTAGTTAGAGGACATTTAGGAGGAATTGGCGCGTTTCATCACGGTTTTGCAGGAACAGGTTTTAATCATGAATTGCAGTTGAGGTCTTTGTGATACGTCATGTGATCAAATTTAAACCATTAGCTCAACGTTTTCCTCTTTGAATCTCATCCACATCAACTTACTCCTGACAATAACCTGCACTGATAGTGATGCAAATAGGAACGCTCATCCCTACGCATGCTACTGTTTTTCCCCGGTCGACAATGCACACAACGTCGTTATGAAGCTTGTGAGACCTCTCGACAATGGCAGAAAGTGTCTGCCGGTTGGCGGCTTCGTGCCTCTTTTTCCTGCTGGGGATGGTATTTTTCGGAATTCCCGTCCAAGCGTATGCAACACTATCTGACGAGACGTTAAAATCCCTTCCACGTCCCAACAATGATTTCAACATCCGCGACGGCGCGCTACTAGCTCCCATCCTGCAACCACGTGTCCCCGGCACGCTAGGTTCCCTACAAGTTCTCCAACACTTTGTTAATTTCTTTAGAACTACATTACCTGAGTGGACGATAGAGTTCCAAAATTCGACGTCGAAAACACCAGTAACTGGAAACAAGGAGATTCCCTTTGTCAACTTGATCGCCTTTCGGGATCCTCCATGGTCAGGTGTTGGAGATACAGGCAGGTTCACTCTGGCGGCACACTATGATAGCAAACGAGAGCCTCCTGGCTTTATCGGCGCTACAGACAGCGCTGCTCCATGCGCAATTATCATGCATTCCATACGAAGTATTGACGCGGCCTTGACTAAAAAGTGGGATGCTATGAAAGCCGAATCCTCCCACGACTCATTTTTCGATCACCAAGGCATCCAAGTTTTTCTATTAGATGGCGAAGAAGCTTTCCACTCTTGGACCGACATAGATTCCCTTTACGGCTCTCGAGCATTGGCCCAGGCCATGGAAGATACCTTTTACCCGGCTACCTCTGTCTACAAATCCCCACTATCGGCCATCTCACTTTTTGTCCTGCTGGATCTATTGGGCGAAAAGGACCCACAGATCCCGTCTCATTTCAAAACAACTCACTGGGCATATCAAAATATGGCTACTCTGGAAACCCGGTTGCGCCAACTTGGCTTGTTCAAGTCAGCGCCGTCATGGAAGAAAGGCGACAAGCTGTGGCTCCCCGATTCGGAGAAGGAGATATTTTTCCCTAGCGGAATTGCCGATGACCACATCCCATTTATGAGGCGTGGGGTTGAGATCTTGCATTTGATCGCCTCCCCTTTCCCTAAGACATGGCATAAAATTACAGACGATGCGGAGCATTTGGATCTCAATACGGTTGAGGACTGGAGTACATTGCTTACGGCTTTCATAGCTGAATGGTTAGAGTTGGAAGGTGTGCTTCCAAAATATGAAGGGTCAGTAGACGAGCCTAATAGCAGAAAAACTGAGCTTTAAGACATTCCCATTCTTGGAACTTTTCCTTCTCTCCGTTTGCCCTTAGTTGGAATGTGTATATATTGTGTCCATTTCATTTTAAGGATTTATTATATCCTCTTGCTTGTGACGTGTTCGGATACTTCGTTTCCAATTTCCCATACAAGTTAGTATGAAGTTACATAACTTTTCATTCGATTTCTTGCTATGTGAAAGAACATAAGCTAATAATCCTTATTAGGGCGTGACATATGCTATGTTTTTTTAAGAACCGAAATGATTTACATCTCCATGGAGATCGACTGCCGCGGCGATCGCGGCCCACCAAGTTCGCCATTTCACTGTGTGTACGGTAGTGTGGAACAAAAGTCCATATAAAAGGTACATCCGTTTCATACCGGCTGGCAGAGCCCTGGAAGATTTGAGGTTAGTTCAAGGGTCTGATGCCTAGCGCTGGCTAGAAGTTACGTGCTAAGTCTCCGCAACGTCTGCCATGGTGAGTTAGAATTATTCAAAAGGCTGTATTGAGATTTTTCAATTTATATTCCAAGTACATCCAATGGCCTTTGCTCCACACTTCCGTGTTTTATCTCAGCAAGGCGCAGTTGCACCACACATATCCCAGAATTGCTCTTTTCATAGACATGGCAGAAACACATTCATGCATCTGGTGATGAATATGCAAATGTATATAGATATAGAGACATATATAACTTACGTATACACAATATTAAAAGGGATAGGGAAAAAAGAAAAGAAAAGACTCGAGTATCTTACCGTTCCCTGCGGCGTCCATGGCTGTGCCAACGCCACATAACAGTATTCAATAGTCCAGATGTGGATACCCAAATCCTCAGGAAGGGATTTTAATCGCCGTTTAGGTTCTAGAACAATGAATAATTAAAATGGTGTGAATATCAAATAATTGGGCTGTAACTACTGTTTGGGTAATTCTTAAGCGGTATGTGTCGACAAGTTGTACACATTATTCACCTTCTGACTTGCATGTACAGAAACTAGGAAAGAAATCATTGTCAGATTTAAACTTCGCATTTCCCCTTTTAACTACGGGAAAAGAGTAAAATGGCCTAAACTTCCGATATATAAAAATATCAAAGATTGATAGCTATCCATAGGGTGGCAAGGAACAGCAATTTTACAAACCCGACAGAGCCCCCAGCATATATCCTCCCATCCAAAGCAAGCCCCATTTAGGCTGTAGAACGGTCCTGAGCAAACCAGGCCCAGGACACACCCCCGACAATCCCCACCCAACCCCGAACGCTACACCGCCTGCAACAAATCGCCAATCAATATCTGCCATAGTAGCCGTTGGCAGCTGAAACATGTCCGCCAGAGTCGGCCGTTTCTTCCCGTTTTCATCTCCGGACGCAGCTCCCAGTTTCATGTATGAGATGAGGTTGGGGATAACAGCGAACAGCATGACCAGGCTTAGGGATGGGTCGAATTTAGACCGGTCAAACCAGCTAAAGAATCCAAGTACCTTTGCCGGATTCGCCATTCCGGTTATGAAGAGGCCCAGGCCGAACTGCAAGCCAGCGATGTAACTGTATATCGTAGTGGAGTTTTTGGACTTTTGTAGCATACGTGGGACAAGGATGGAGTTTGTAAGCTGGGCAAGCATGACTGCTCCAACCATGAATGCGGCCTGCTGGGGGGTTGGGTAGGTGGGTGAATAACATGGTTGGTTATTTGGACAAGCGGGGATGGTGTTTCGAATGTTTGCGGTTATCAGAGCTGTCATGAAGAATATGCCCGTTGCGATTGCGGACCGGGGGGAGAGACGGGACAGGCCGCATAACATATGGCCGGACGTGCAACCGCACTCATTCTTCAGCCATATTTGAGTGAAGTTAGTAGGGGTATTAAGCTATATCAATTTAGGAATCTCTATGGAATTCGTACTATATCCACCCTTCCGGTGTGCAGCGGAAACGCATGTCTAAGTCTCAACATAGTATGTCATCTGTTTACATACCTTTGTGCCCCACCCTACTGCAAAGCCTGTTGCGAGCGTAGCTAGAGCAGCTTCCCATGAACTTCCTACAGGAAGGTATGTCGGGAGTAAAGATGGCGCAAAGTAATACACTGGTATGATGCTCGATATCAACCCTCCTACGATGGGCAGATTGTCGCGGCTAGGTTTGGCAACGGACCCTGAGAGGAGAGACGAAATACCAAACACACGACCATTGTGCTGCAGCAATCCCGAAGATCCTTGGTGTAGAAGGACAGCTCCGAGAGCGGTATCGACGGGGGTAAACATCTCTGTCGGCTAGTCTTCTTGTCAATGATTCACCTGAGGCTCTCCAGTAGCTTCTTCGACAAAATGTAGATTGTTACGGGGAAAGCCTTTATATAGCATGCAATCGGGGATCGCTCGGGCACTCGTTCGGGCTTCAGTGGATCTGCGCATCCTTTGCCGCTTCGGTGGATCTGTGCATCCCAGGCCAGAAATTTGCATCAATGTGAAATGTGAAAGAAATGGCCACCAGGGTCTTCTGGTTCCCATTTAGAACGCTGGACCATTTCGTCATAGGCTTGCCACACTTTGTGACGAAATGTGTTCTATGTAATTAGATATCTTGCTTTGAATGAACGAAACTGAATTGTCAATTAACTCTGAGGCGGCGGAAGTTGATCCATGGTAAACGGACCCTTCCGAAATCCGCCAAAGCCGATACTTAGCGAATTAAGCTCTTCGCTCAGACAAGCAGACGCAGGAAGAGATCTGGATCGCATCCCTTTTAATTGTCAATCGGCAACTCTTCATCTCCAGAGAGTAACCGTGTGACATTCGTCTCTGAAGGTTGAATTCGGAGAACAATTCCAGCTGCTGCTCCTATAGAATTCGAATGGCAAGAATATCATCGGGATAGAAAAGGAGAACCCATGAACCTAGACTCTGCCAGTTACATGATTTGGTCTCTGGGCATACGGCGCAACCTCTGTGGGAGCATTTATCTAGATGTGAATCTCTTTCGTCCCGCAAAGCTGGATATAATGGAAAGTTATATTGCCACGTGATTTTCCACCAAGTTGGAGCCTGAACATTTATCGAGCTTCGATTGCACCGAGTCCTCCTTGCACCTTGGATATGAGTTGAGATGCAGATACATACCAATGTCCGTTTGGCGATATGATTTACCGCCAAGGCCCTTTCTTCTCCACAGCAAGTTAAAGGGTCAAACAGTATTTGGATCGACCGCTGGACTGTCAGTCCAAGTAAGCGTCCGTAATTCCGCCCCTCCGATGAACAGCCGCTCTTCTGGCGCACTTTCAAACACGATCGCGAAATGTGGGCATCAAGTCACTCCCGTCATGCGTTCAAACGGCTCCTCAATTTTGAGCGGAACTCCATGTTTGGCATACCACTGACAGCCACAAAACATACTTCACAGAGCGTAGCTTGACTCCATTATTGCAGCCCTACCATATCCCAGCGCCGCTCAAACCTCCCATCCAAGTTACACGGACCATCATATACTGGAAATCGAATCCTTGGAACATTTTCAAAGTGTTTTGCGCTCCCCTCATGTTCCTGACAGTTTTGGCATATCCCTCGTGATCCCCTCGCCTCAGAAGAGGATATTCGGGGTAAATTCCCCGGCAACTCTAACATCGGATTCTCAATCTTGAAAATTCTGATCTTCCAAGTGCTCGGGAGCCGTCTTGTCCAAGTACGGTTCCCCGAAACGGTTGGGATTCAAACCTTCGGAGGGAAGTAGCGGGAACCGAGATGGGAAAAGCGTATTATTGTTCAGGGTGGGTCATTGAATGGTTCGTGTGGCTGTTGATTCCGGGATCTCAAAAAAATACGACGGACCGCATCCTTGGGCTCGCAACATCGATACATGACCCCGCTCATCGGAGGCAGAATTCGACCCGGAATTCAATTTGAAAAAGAAAGAAGAAGAGGGTCGGAAGTCACACAAATACGTAGGACTACATGGCCTTCAATTACTTCGTAGCTTACGCGTGCAACTCTCTCATGGTCTTAACTATCGAAAGTGTGCGAATCGTGTCAAAAATAATTCCCACAAGGGTATATTTTCAGAAGCTTCGAAGCAGCGAGCGGCATTAGCGCAGCGCCATTTCCGGAGAAGTGAGTCAGAGCAGATCTTCGACTCTACACCGACAAGAGTGAATCATACGATAACTATTGGCGGGAACAACACCACTTGCTGGCCCTGACTCCACCACGGGCAAAAAATCTAAAGCGATCCAGCCAGGCAAGGACAGGTCGGCCCGGTCTACGCCCTCCCAAGAACAACTGACAGGGAATCCGCACAGCACTCCGCGTTCCTAATAAGAGCGTTAGCGAAGCGGACTCCTGTCAGGGTAATTTTTTTGGCTTATCAATCAGCCGCCATCAGATCACCTATCAGTTGCTGCTTAAGATGTCGGTGCGTAATGGACCAGAGAAGGTGTGATATAACCTGTTCCGGGGATACTTACTGCTGCATAATAGGTGGTGAGCGCGCTGATGTTACTCGAAAGGACCCACCCAATATTTGGAACCTTGCGCTGACTTCTGGATTGACCTCGAAAACTCGAATTCGTAAAAAGGATGGCACTTGGAGAGGGACCTGGTGACTCGAATTCGCCCCTGTTCAAAATGTCATTCTCACTCACCAGGGTTTCTTCTAACTCTTCGGCAATTTGAAATTCCCCCCTGTCTTCTCAGCGCGCCGCTGCTCGTTATCGTTGCATAAATGTATTTTAGCTTGTCCATCCCCGCGACATTACCATACCTCACTGCCAATCTGATCACACATATTGGTCCCCAGTGCGTCCGTACGGCTCCACTTGCCCACGAGCTTCGGTTCTCGCTGTTATAAAAACTTTTCGCGTCTGCAGGTACATGCCCAGTATATATGTATGCCCATCAATTCCAATTTGTTCGTGGTTGCCACTTTCTTTTTCGACGGTTCTCTCGCCCTCGGTTTATTGATATAGTTTTAATTTCGACTTCGTTTAGCCGGAGCGGAAGTGGATCAAAGGAGAGCGAGCTGGCGAGAAGGGCAATATATGAAAGAAAACGGCATTTTTCTTAATAACATATTGGCCATCATGATCGAGAAACAGACTGCCTCTCTTCTGATTGGAACCACTGGCCTAATTGCTGTTGCTCTCTGTACAATTTCTGGCCTGCTAGCACTGTCGGCCCGGCTGTCCATTAGAAATCGAGTCGGACAGATCGCTCTTCAGGATGTATATCAAGATCAAGACGGAGCTGCTACAGAAGAGTCCACCCAAAAATTTTCACAAAAATTTCACTGCGTGTCGTTAATATGTCTTTCCATTACTGGCCTCCTAGTATCTTTGGCACAGTCTATCTTGTCAATTATTTCGGAGGACCAATCTCGCATGATTGAGCCATGGCTTCAATTTTCGATCTGGGTATGAATTTCATATATTTTTCTGTAATTCTTCGAAACGTCCCGCACTGACCTAGATTATTAGGTTTTTGTTGTCCTGAACGCAACTGCGCTTCTTGTTGAACCGTCTCCGATCAAAAAATTCAATATCGGACTCTATATCTCGATGTCAACCATCGTTTATATAGTGGTTATTACTGTTCAGAAATTTTTCGTCTACCCCTACTCTGATTCTCTCGCTCTGAAGAACGTTCACGACACTCTGATATCAGTTCAATTTGTGGTTGCCTTCGTCTGCTCCTGCATCTCGGCCCTTCTCCCCCGTCGGCCGGACGTTTTTAGGAACGGGAAGGTTGTGGATGCCCAGTATACAACGTCTTGGCTTCGCCGTTTAACCTTTAGCTGGCCCAGCGAATTGCTCAAAAATATACGGCGAACGAGAAAACTGGACGTTGAATATCTTCCTGAGCTAGATTACGGTACTCGTGCCAGATCTCTTCTCGAATCGTTCGACCAGACGAAACACAAGTCTCCCCGTCTCTGGAAGGTGTTGGTAAATATTTATCTTTCACCTCTGGTTCTGCAGTTTGTGTTGGTCGTTATTGCCTCTTTCCTGAATTTTGCCCCCCAGTTTTGCCTACTTCATATCCTTCGCGCACTGGAGGCACGCAGTCGTGGCGAATGGAATCCTTCAGAAACGTGGGCATTTGTCTTCGCTCTGGGAATGTCGACAGTAATTTATTCTACAATTGAGTCATGGCTATACTGGATCTCGTTCTCGAAACTATGCATCCCTGTCTACGAACAGATAGCGGCGGTAGTATTTACGAAGGCAATGCGTCGAAAGAATGTGAAAGGAAGACAAATGCCGAGTAGCACAGACGACCAGACCTCAGACCGAAATATCAATCAGCTGGCAAAAGATGATACCGATGACGAAGATGATAATCAGAAGACTAATCAAGGTACTATCAACCTTATCGCCGTTGATGCAAAGCGAGTTTCCGATTTTGCTGCTTACAACTATTTCATTCCGTCAACCATTGTTGAACTTGCAACTGCCTTCACATTCTTGGGGCTTCTGATAGGTTGGAAAAGTCTTTGCTCGGGACTTTTGGTCTCAGTAGTGGTGACTCCGGTCAATATTTACGTCTCAAACAAATACACGGGGAGCCAAATTTCTTTGATGAAACTCCGTGACCAGAAAATGGCTGTTATCACTGAAGTCCTTCATGGAATCCGCCAAATTAAGTTTTCGGCTCTCGAGAACCAGTGGCAACGTAAAATTGGAGACCTGCGGAAGGCGGAGCTGCATGCCCAGTGGACGGTGTTTCGTTGTGACATCGTCCTTATCGGTATTTGGATCTTGGGTCCGGTGATGCTTTCGGCCGTGTCTCTCGGAGTCTATTATCTGTTACATGGCGAGTTATCCGCATCGGTTGCCTTTACAACGGTGTCCATTTTCTCGTCTCTGGAGCTAACACTTGCAATTCTGCCTGAGCTAATAACGGATTTCATCGAATGTTGGGTGAGCGCCGAAAGAATTGAAAAATACTTGACCTCTGCAGAGAAAGGCCACAATACACTTCCCTCCGATAAAATCTGCTTTGAGAAGGCGACTATTTCTTGGCCAATGGAAGACCCCGACGAAACGGATGGTAGATTCAGGCTTCAGGACATCAGTCTAAACTTCCCACCCAAAGGTTTCAGTGTTATTTCTGGTAAAACGGGATCTGGTAAAAGCTTGCTCATCGCATCTATCCTTGGCGAATCTGATATCCTGGCCGGCATTGTTCGCGTTCCGGTAGCTCCACCTCCTGAAGAAACATTTAACGAATATGCGAACAAGGAAAACTGGATTATCGACTCAGCAATTGCCTATGTGGCTCAAATACCATGGATTGAAAATGCCACCATTAAAGATAATATTTTGTTCGGACTTCCATTCGACCAAGATAGATATCATCAAGTTCTATTCGCCTGCGCTTTAGAGAAAGATCTCGATATGTTACCTGATGGAGAACTCACGGACATAGGCGCTAATGGGATAAATCTCAGTGGAGGCCAGAAATGGCGGATATCATTTGCAAGAGCCCTTTATTCTCGCGCTGGTATTCTTATCATGGATGATTTGTTTAGTGCATTGGATGCCCACACAGGACGACATCTTCATGTACATGCCCTCACAGGGGAACTTGGTCGAGGGAGAACGCGGATACTAGTTACTCATCATGTGGCTCTGTGCCTTGGTGAAACGGATTACTCTGTATACCTTCAAAATGGCACGGTTGGGCATGCGGGGACTGTGGATGAATTGAGGAGAACTGGAGAGCTAACAGAGATTTTAGCTGACAAGGCTAATGATGCAGCAAGACAAAGTGATGAAGTTGAGGACGACATTGATGCTCTTGATCCGAGCGAGGCTGGCTTACAGAAAGTTTTATCTCGTGGATCCCAGACACAAACAAACGAAGTGACAAGTGACGTTTCTGTTAAAAGAAAACGCGCCCCTGCTAAGTTCCAGCAAGATGAATGGCGTGAAACTGGCTCGGTTAAACTGGCTCACTATATAACGTATTTCAAGAGTGGAGGAAGCATGTGGTATTGGATTTTCGTTGCTTTAGCATTTTTGACTTATATTACGCTCACGGTTGGACGAGTATGTTGCATGCCTAATTATTTGATTGACTGTTTTCACTAACTTATTACTAGTCATGGTGGATAAGTATTTGGACTCGATCGTCAAGCGGTTCCGCGACGGATACCAAACTCTTTGTAATGATGCACATCGTGAATAAGAGCGATCCGGAATCGCCAAATTCCTCCCTTTTGTTTTACTTGGGAATTTATGTTGGATTATCCCTCGTAACATGTGTTCTAGGTCCGCTGAGATACGGTCTCTTTTTCAATGCAGCCATTAACGCTTCTCGTAACCTATTTGATCGGCTTACTTACGCCGTGTTGAGAGCACCGCTGCGTTGGCTTGACACGATACCTGTTGGACGAATCCTAAACCGCTTTACCGCAGATTTCAACATGATCGATTCTCGACTAGGTAGTGACTTTAGCTTAATGCTTTACCACATCCTTCAGATCTTTGGCATTATGGCTGCCGGATTGCTTGTCTCGCCTATCCTTATCCTGTTCGCCATTGGTCTCCTTGGGATTAGTTTATATTATTCACTCTACTACCTTGATGGCGCTCGGGAAATCAAACGCTTAGAGAGCATCGTGAAAAGCCCAGTATACGAACAATTTGGGACTGCTCTGACCGGATTGTCAACAATCCGCGCCTTTGGAAAGGTCCCAACCTACATTGACCGAATGTTCACAAAGATTGATCGACATGCCCAAGCTTTCTGGCATTTATGGCTCTTCAACAGATGGCTTGGTTTCCGCATGAGTACTATTGGGTCCGTTTTTGCTGTTACTACTGCAGCACTTGTAGTATACATGAAGGGCATCGATGCGTCGTTGGCTGGTTTTGCACTCAGTTTTGCTATGCAATATACCAACGCGATCTCGCATGGATTGCGTGAATATACGAATATTGAACTGAACATGAACGCCACAGAAAGGGTAATTGAGTATTCTGAAATTGATACAGAACCTCAAGACGGTTTAAATGCACCTGCTGCCTGGCCTACTGAAGGTCGACTTGAAGTTTCAGACCTTGTGGTTGCCTATGCTCCTGACTTGCCTCCAGTCCTCAAAGGTTTATCGTTCAAGGTAGAAAAAAATCAGCGCGTTGGCGTTGTGGGCCGTACAGGGGCAGGCAAATCCTCGCTGACTCTAGCGCTTTTCCGTTTCCTAGAAGCGCGTGGAGGAACTATTCACGTCGACGGTATTGATGTATCCAAGATTAAGCTCCACGATCTCAGAAGTCGGCTTGCCATCATACCTCAGGACCCTGTTTTATTTTCCGGAACGATCAGGTCAAACCTAGATCCGTTTGATGAATTTAGCGACAGTCAGCTGCGCGACGCTTTAGAACGTGTGCATCTTGTTTCCAACTCCATCGACGAAACAGCCACGCCTACTCAGCCCTGCTCATCCTCATCGCCTCCTCAAACCAGCACAGGGTCGACCACTCCAACACTAATCAGTGGAGAGTCCAGCTCAACTGCTGCAGCCACAGCTAACACAAACATCTTTGACAAGTTAGAGTCCACCATCTCCGAGGGTGGGCTGAACCTTTCTCAAGGCCAGCGGCAACTCCTCTGCCTTGCCCGTGCAATTGTTTCACAACCGAAAATCATGGTCCTCGATGAAGCCACATCAGCGGTTGACATGGCCACTGACGCGTTAATCCAGCGTTCCATCCGCTCTGAGTTTGGACGCAACTCATCAACATTACTCGTCATCGCACATCGACTCAGCACTATTGCCGATTTTGACCGTATCTTGGTCATGGATGCTGGTAAGGCTGTGGAATTTGGGACACCTAAAGATTTGATGAAAATTGAAAATGGTGTGTTTAGGGGATTGGTGGAGGAGAGCGGAGAACGCAAGGTTCTGGAGCAGATTATTTTTGAGGGAATGACATAGTGTGGTTGGAGCAAGAGATTGGAAAATACTTTCAAGACCTCGGTCTAATACGTCTCTCTATACAGAGGTGTGGAACAAAAGTCCTAACACGCGCGATAACATGGTATCAATCAGCTACCAAGCCCTCCAAACATGCTGGGGTCAATTTAGAGGTTTGATCCGTAAAGCTTAGCTGTCAAGTTAGGCATCAAGGTCCCATAACTTTTGCTGTGAGGATCAGATTCATTTTGAACTCCAGTATTGAGATTTCCATTTGAATTTTTAGTACGTGAAAGGACTTTAAGTTCCAAACCTCCGTACATTAACGCAAAATACACGTTTATGAATTTTATTTTCATTTTTTAAAGGGTTCGAGCTAGAAAGAGCATACACAGAAGACAAAAGGGAAACATGAAGATGATGCGCATATTAAAACTTTTAGGTTTCTTTTGTCGTTGTGCCATGTGCGTAAATGAAGTTTTACATAACAGCTTGATCAGATTAGTTTTGTTTTTATAAATACGTTTGTAACGCTTTTTTGCGTCATTTGCTGGCCCTACGACCAACAACATTCTTTTGTATCCCTTCGTCTGGCCACTAGGCACAATTAGCGCAATACAATTAGTGTAATAACTAAGCTGTTAGTTCAGAAGTACCAACCAATAATTTCTCATACTAAATTCTATATAATCTGATTTGTTGATACAAGATCCACACTCTCATATTTTCTGCTTGACACATTCTGCAATCTTGGAACCTTCTCATCATAATTTATCCACTCTGTCCACTCTGGAATAGCAATATGAATTCTACAGATGATTTCCAATTCTCCAATGCTTCTTTTAATCAGATTAACTGATATTTTTTATTAGATAGTATAAAAACAGATGCAAAGTGAAAATGATCTCTCAGTTCACTTTTGGCATCCATTTCATCTCTAGAGAGTATTAAATTCAATTCTATGCAATCTCTACAGCAGCCTTCAACAATCAATCTATTCAATATCAATTCAATAAATTCATATGCTTTATTCTCTCTCTATATTTCAGAGATTGATATTCAGAATATTGTCTGTTCCATCAATATCTATACAGAGATTCAGATTTCAAAGAATTCAGTTATCAATTCTTGAAATTGGCAGTCAACTACTTCTGCAGAAATCAAGATATTTCTTGAACAGATTATCTATATGAGAGTATATAGATCTTCAGCAATTGAAGATTATTGAAATAAGAATAATGCTCAGAGACCACTTCATTTATTAAGATTTCACATTGAACAAAAGTGATTTGAGTAGATTAAGAGATATATTCATATATTCAATTCTTGCAGATCAGAATCATTCTATTCTTTCTTCATACAGAAGCTAGAGTCTTTATACTTCAACTTTTATACAGTATGTCAGAAATACTACAATTCAGATTCAAATCTCTTCATTGATGAGATGATGATTTGATTTTATGATGGGTTAGCACTCATTAATAGTTAACTTACACAACCAACCCTCTACTGCATGCTTATATACTCATATACACTTATAAAGTTCTCTCATATTTTTTTATGATTCTGCCTCACAATTGTGCACATCTTAATATTCTAATAATTCTTTCATCTCATACTTCTTCAGAGCATAATCTTTAATATTTCTTCTACTCTGATTCTTTTATCTATAAAAATCCTCTTATACAATTTCTTCTTCTGATCTTCTTTCTCTTTTTTTTCTTAATTGATTTATAAACTGTTATCAGAATAGTATCAAGTTTGTTGATATTGTTATTGAAATGAATTGTATGAACTGTGTAGATAATATAAATAGTTTAATCTGTAATATCAGTAGCATCTGCTTAATCAGTGGCATATCTATTACATTATAAATCAATTCATCTGTATTTAAGACTCAAATATCTAGTTATTAGTTTCTATACTCAAATGTATCAATTATATTTAAAATCTGAATGCTTCATTACCAGTTTCTATATCTGAGTGCATCAATTATATTAAAAGACTTAAATGTCTAGTCATTATATAAGTTTCTTATTGAGTCTGAACACTCTCATCATTAGATATATAGACTGTCATATCTAAGTATTTATGATACAATCAACTATTTTACAAAGAGGTTCAAGTGTAGACTGGCTGTGTGACCATGCATGGGACTGAGATCAAATTTTTCCTCAGTTTCATTATTAGATATCTTAGTTCTGGTTCCATATAGTGTTTAGTAAATTAGTCACTTTACACTGTTTATATTATAAATCTAGTCCCAGATTATGTTTTACTAATAAATTAGTGATTTCAGTCTCATTTGATCCCATTTTACAAAATGGGACCAAATGGGACCATGATTTACTCTATATAGATTGGTAGTGATAGATTAGCAGTGATAGATTAGCAGTGGTAGGTAGGTTGGCAGCAGTAGATAGATTGGCAGTGGTAGATAGATTGGCAGTGATAGATTAGCAGTGATAGATAGATTAGCAGTGATAGATTAGCAGTGATAGATTAGCAGTGATAGATTAGCAGTGATAGATAGATTGACAGCAATAGATAGATTAACAGTGATAGATAGATTGGCAGCAGTGATAGATTAGCAGCAATAGATAGATTGGCAGCAGTATAGATTAGCAGTGGTAGATAGATTGACAGTGGTAGATAGAGGATCTAATAGCAAGCCATCAGAGCATTGAGCACTAAGCAAGATAGAGATAATATCTCCACCAATCATATCATCAGATTGATGTATTATATAATCATCAGAATGGGATCAAACTTGAGTCAAAATTATAATCAGTCTCAGATCATATTCTGATTTTGATAGTCAGTCACTTTACATAGAATATCAAGATTTTTTAGTCTCATTTCACTTATGTTTTGATAATTCTAGTCACTTTACACTTTCATTCTGATTCTGATCCCACTAAAATCATGTCAAAAAATGAACTGAAATCAAATCAAATCAAATCAAATGTGTAATTCATGATCCCAGCAGTCAGTCTATTCAAGTGTCTATAAATCATATCACTGCAAATAGTATTCACAAAGAAGTTTGATAAACTTAGCATTATAACACTGTGAATAGTGTTTGTGAAGATCTGAATATCTACAAATATTTTATTCTCTAGAATTATATATCTTTAGATATTAAAATAAGTTATCAATAAATCTACAAATATTTATTATATTCAAACACAGCAGATAATAATCTAAATCTATAAAGTATTCTTCAGTAGCAAACACTGTAGATGACTGAGCTACAACAACAGCTTACTAAAATAAGTATATCTACATTTATTATTTCCTCTACATTCACATCTCATAAGAAGTCTTCAAGAAAGAAGCTCTCAATCCTCAATAAATACACAGAAGATTTAGTATTATATTTTATATAGAAATCAAAAATAAATATTAAATTGAATATCAATAATCAAGTAATAAACTTACTATTGAATCAAATATAATATATTCACAGCAGATTAGATAACAATATATTAGTAAAATTTCAATTCTGAATAAGTCACTGCTCAGATAATCAGTATACATCAGAGTTAATCTTTCAACAATTTAATATTCTCTTTCTTAATTCTATACTTCAAATTAAAATATTAGATTGATTAAATGAAACTCATCAGAAGAACATTTCATTGACAATCTATCTATCTAAATTTAATTACAAATTTTTAGAAGTAGATGAGCAGAACTGAAACAATATTATCAAGATTAATATACTATTCAAAAATTTGAACTTTTAGTTATATAATTAAAGTATAGAGTATTCAAAATTTTCAATATACAGTAAATACTGTATAGATTTTCATCTACTCAATAATAATCTGTTTTAATTTTATATATTTCAGAACTGCAAAGAATTCTGCTGAATAAATATATATATTTTAAATTACTTTATAATAACTTCTGTATCTAAATCAGAGTCAATGAACTGAATCTCTTATATAAATACTGAATATTTAAAAGTTTTCAATATTTCAGATAAGAATATCATCAACTGAATTATCAGAGAAATCTATATATACTGCAATAAATCAGAACACTTTGTAAATCAATACTCAAATACAGTTCTTTCAAATTAATTCTTTATATATATGAATGCTGTGTCATCCACAGATAGATAAAAACAGAGAAAAGAAGAGCTTTTACTCTAAAATATAGATAAAAACTTAAGAAGTAAAAAGCTAACTGAAGATTTGAGTAGAAGATATAAATAGATATAATTATAATCTCTGTCATTGTAAATAGCTTAGTCAATATATAAATAATGATAGATAGTGATTTTCTTCACTATACTTTTATAAATACTCAGCTGATTGAAAAGTATAAACTTCAGTGTATTCTCTTCTCTAAATTATATAAACTCAGTAAATTCAATAATCTCAGAGAATTCATTTTCTATAATATAATAAAATTTAATATCAATATAGAAGAGTATGAGAAAAAGAATGTTTACATATATAAAATACAGAATCTTGAGTATAACTTAATACTCAGTCTGTCATAACTTACAGAATTTGAAATCTTATTGAATATATACAATTATTGTTTTATTTTCTCAGAAAATAACTGCATCTATAAGAAGAATATTGATAGAACTGCTGATCTCACTCAGATATCAGCAAAAGTATTCAAATTATTAACTTATTAAATATATAAAAAAAAGAATATTCAGATATTCACTATCAGTATAATGAATATCAAAAAGATATTAGAGAAATTGAAACTTAAAAATCTCAAAAAGCTCTGCAAAGAACTCTCTGAAATATACAAAAACTTCACAGATATATTTAATGAAAAAATGACTGAGATACTTTTCTTTTATCAAAAATGCAGTATAGATTATATAATTGAGCTTATTAAAAAAGATAGTAAGAATTCACAATTATTTTAAAGCTCTCTCTTAGACTGACTGCTGGAACTATGAATTACATATTTGATTTGATTTGATTTGATTTCAGTTCATTTCTTAGCATAATTTTAGTGAGATCAGAATCAGAATAAAAGTGTAAAAT